TGTATGTGCTGGCTGGCGGCCAACAGCAGGAGCAGTGTGTGAATCCAGGCCATCCCAGGGTCGCACTGAAGCACTCTTCTATCCATTACTGCCTTGTGTTCCTCCTGGATTCTCTCCTCCTTTCTCCTCCAGATCTTTCTAATTTTTATTTCTATTTGACACAATTCTCACTTAAAAGTTCCCCCTCTTCTGCCTGAATCTTCTCCTTCCCTCTTCCCTCTCAGGCCTCCTCAGAAGACAAAAACAGGTTGGAAACGGCCGCCACTTGCTGCTCTCAGAGCTACTTACAATGCAGATCCTCTCATTCTAAGCTCTTCTACTCTGGCCTCCCTCTCATTCCCTGTTCCTCCCTCCCTCTGCTACTGTCGGGGAAGTGCTCTCTTATTTTCTCTTTCTCCACCCACTCCCTGGCCCTTCCTCTAACTCTAATAGTTGTTTAGTGTCTCATTTCAGCACCTGCTTTGGAACGCAGAAAGATAGAGACAAGGGAGGTAAAAATGAATTACTGATAATCACGGCTGCTTCACACACATCCAAACTCACAACAAAACCCCGCGGCTGTTCAAGCTCTATCTTTATGATTGAATGAAACTGTTTATTCATCCTGCAACTCCTTCAACCCTCCATTACTCCCTGCATGGCTGCTGTGTTAACCAGGTTCACTAATCAAACATGAATAGAATAGTGGGTGGTGGTGGGAAGTTATTTCTTCTCACAGCAGCTCCTAATGTTTGCAGCAGCGGATGTCTAATTATCACCGTTTTGAAAAGAGGGAGAAAAGTTCACTAAAAGGACAAGCTTTTTACAAACTGATTTCCTGAAGAGTTGACACACTTAAACTAAAACAGTACTTTTGTAATACAAGTTGACCTACAGTACAGGCTTTTGTGTTCTTTTTAACTTATTTTTCTAGTATTCTGAGTAGATGTTTTGATTTTCTAACCAGTTTACTGATTGTCTGATTTCTTTATGACGTGCCCATAACTATTGCTATGAAACAAACCTTGTTTCTTGAGCAGACATAGGTCATGAATCATCCTTTTAGAAATGTTTAAAAAGTGTGTGAGACAAGAGACTGTTTGATAGTTTGAAAGTTCTGATGCAAAATCTATGAATGCGTGAACAAGGGCGCTCAACAGTAGTACTGTTATTAATTATATATTATTATTAGGAGGGACATACAGGATGATCGTAATGGCCCCCTGACTGATAGGGCCCCTAAGAAATATTTGAAGATTATATCAACATATACGCATATACACCAGTGTCATATCCTCTAATGGGGCACAGAATAGTTGGCAGCGGGCCTGGTTATTAATGTTGCTAAAGGCTTGTTTAAACTTCTGCATGTATTAAATTGGAAGAGAAAATGCCATATATATGTGTTAATTTACCTGTTAAATTATTTTCCAAATAAACCCATAAATTGAATTTAAATTCATTTTAAAAGGGAAAAAATAGTGGTACACTACATTCATATTCTCGGCTTGTTTACCATAGTATAAATTTTGCATAAATATGTACAATCTAAATTATGCTAAAGATTATGCTAAAAATCTTACTTCTTCAACTTCCAGTAAAACACAGTCAAATACTGATCCTGGGTCTGATGTTTTTGTAGCTGCTTCACTGCACTCACAGCGGCACTTCAGATGTTTTACAGCCTGAACGTGTGAGCACCTCCCTTCATATTCCAACACAAGGTGAGGGAGAGAGGGAGAGCCGGTGTCCACAGTACATACCTGTGCACGCTGACAAGTACTAACTCACTCTTCCTGCAGGCCATGGCAGAGGAACGCACAGCAATCATAACAATCATTATATCAAAGTGGAAAAGAGAGAGAGAGGACGGAGACAGAAAAGACAGGAAAAGTGTGGAAATTCTAAAAAAAAAAAAAAGGTAGATTAGGATGATTTAAGAGAACCATAGAGATGAAGGGGGAGAATGGTAAATAGAGTGGGGGTGGGGGGATGAATCAAAAGCCATGAGTTGCCCAAGGCCACAGTCACTTGCAAGTGAGTGGTAGGAGGAGGGAGAGGAAGAGAGAAATCATTAACCAACACCTGTCTGTTTCTGACTCCTAATAAATCAGCCTGCTGCTGGTCCTTCTCTCCCTCTCTCTGCTGTTTGGGTGAGGCTACTGTACATCCCCAGGTGAGCTGTGTAAGGAGAAAGTGGAGAAGGACGCACAAGGATAAAAACGTAAGAATTTCAGCTTGAACCCTTCGACACACATCCAGTCAAGTATCTACAATTAAGAATCTCACGCTTTCATCAAAGTGGATTTATTTCCATCCAAAAGGCCTCAATGAAAAAACAGATCACACACACAGAGAAAGTCCAATGTCGTGGTACCGTTCTGCGCGGGTTGATCCAGTGAAGAACTCTAAAGAACACTTTTTAGCTTCAAGTAAAACTACGCGTGGCATGCTCAGCGTACTACAGTAATACAGCATGTGGATAGAACACTAACACACTGCCACCACTGCAGCTGTAGACTTTTGCATATATTACATGGTCAGAGCAACAAATGATGTGTGGAATAACAACAGACCTGTTATCACACTATCACAGCTGATGACGGGCGAGGCTTAACGGTGTGTGTTCTTAAAATATCAGTGATCTACGAAGGAAAGACGCACTTTAAGAGAAAATAGAAAAATAAAAATAAAAGAAAAAAAACATTACACATAAAACATAAAAAGAAAAATAAACCCACACACATTTAATACAGATAAAATACAACACAACAGATGATTTACCTGTTATTAGGATTATCTCTCTGGGATGTTGTCAGGTGGCTTTCCTTGCTCTGGAGAAACTCTGTCATTACTATGAAGAATGCAAAGCTAACTGTGGGTGTAGAGGTGTAAAGACATGTGCCTTCACCTGGCAAACAGACAGAGTCCAGTCATGTTAATAATCACATGACAGCAGTTCACAGCTTTAGAAGTTGTTGTTTTTTTCAATATTGTTGTATATTTCCATTGTGAACAATATCCTTGTCTTTTGCTGAGGTTTTAAACTTGTTGCATCTACAGATTTCCTTCTTTCTGTTTCAAGGTGCACTACACTACTGACAATAGACATTACTTCAAACAGAGACAAAAACTAGGTTTGATCTATCAAAAAACAAAAAAAACATTTATTTTAGTTGAGTTCTCTACGGCGATGTAACAGCAAGATGTTTTCTAACAAATCGAAACTTTTCATGTTTACCTTCAATCATTGTAAAGATTGCCGGGGAACTTGCAAGACATTCCGTGAGGGACAGGCGCATCCTGGACAGTTCACAGTCCATCACAGGGCCACATACAGAGACAGACAAACATTCACACTAATACTCCTGTGGTCAATTTAGAGTGAACAATTAACCCAATCCTGCATGTTTACCTGGAGACAACCTATGCACACACAGGGAAAACTCCAAACAGAGAAGCAGAGTAGCAGTGATACACCTCTGTGTGGCCTGTACTGATTAAACTGTGCTTAAATTTGGATTAAACTTTTCCATCAGGATACTTGATACCCCAAAAACCCAATTGTATGTGATAATAGTGCTACCAAATTGCATGATGGGAGGTTTTTTCATTAGATAACGTATTTTTTAAAGAATTGGCCCTTTTTGACCTTGAAAAACTGGTTTGTAACGTGGAATAAACGTAATCAATTTATCCATGTTTACCATGTAAAATAATTTAAAAAACAATGCACCAACAATAAAAAACCAAGTTCTATAGGTTTTTGTCTGACATGAATAAAGAATATAGTACCGTCCTTTTTTGTTTAGAAAATAACACTGTGAAGATGTAATACTACATAAAGTAGATATAGAGAAAACATGGACGTAATTATTTTAAGTGTATTTTGTTGGAGAATAGGTCTGAGGTGTGCCTCTCCTTGATCACACACCTGCTTATTTTAATTTATGTGCATCAGTTTGCATTAATAAAGTGACAAATGAATCCAAGTGCAGAGCCAGAATTGCTCACAGGTAAAAAGTTCGCTCAACCCAGGATTCAGAGTCTCTCCCTCTAACTCAGACCTCTCCATGATGCAGTCCTAACTCATGTTTCCAGAGGACGCGTCACTTGCTGCAGGGGGAGGCAGAGCAGTTGGGTTTGGACATGGAAGGAATGAAGCAGAGAAAGAAACAGAAGAGAACATGTAAGAATTCCCAGACCAACTTGTGTTAGAGGTGTGAGGGTGAACGGGGCTGACATTTACAGTAGAATCTTTGCTGCAACACGCTGCAGAATTACAGCCTGCAACCTCCACGCCACACTGCAGTGTCACATGACGGTCATTAAAGTGACACGAGCGATAAAACACATTACTTCAGAGACGCTGAGTTTTATGACATGTTGGGAAATATGTTTATTCAAGTTCCTTTCAAGGCTGAGATTAGACGTGAGAGATGAAAGGCTCGTGTCTGTGTGTTTAAATATGAGACTGGAGTCAACGTCAGATGTGTCAAGCTCAGCATAATGACTTGAAACAAGGAAAATACTTGGTTTACTCCACAATTACACAAAGACTTTTTAATCTTAAGTAAAATTACATTAAATTATTTTTGCTTAAATAATCTTTATATATAAAAAAAACACATATTTTGAATGTCATAAACTTTAGCCTCTGATCCCAGTAGTTGGATAACCTTTCTTTTGTTTTTGATCAATTTTAGGCCAGCTTTTACATATATATATGCATGCATATGTTTACTGTATCTGTTTGTATGTGTTTCTAATAGATTTTGTTCATTGCTTACATTGCCATTCCTGTGTAAGACTATACTGAATATGTATATTCTGCTGTTGTACAATTTAGTTTCTATTTTATCAAATCGACTGTAAATGTGAAAATACTGCTTAGAATAATTATATAATTTCTATCAAATAAAAATAATAATTTTAACCATAACTGTAGATGATAATTAATTTTAGGAAAAAGTGTTTAGTACAATATAAAGTCTTTGACTTAATATCTTTTAAGTTTTAACTTCTGCAAAATGACTGAGTTTATATTAATTATTGCTTATCACTAGACCTGTGTTTGTTTTTTTTAGTTTTTGCTGTAATATTGTTACTGTGATCGACTGTGAAGCGCTGAGATTTGGAAAATACATTTAATCTTTCTGTTTCCTGTTTACATCCTGCTTCGGTCCACAGGAAACAGATCATGTTGGTCGTTAACATTTTTATTGACAGAGGAAATAACAGCAGCCGTCGAGCATCAGTCTGAGGATATAATCTGATTCATGCAACAGTGAAGGATTGGGCACACTTCCCACACATATTATGCTTTATGATGGTGTTGCGTGCAGTGCAACAGGATTATGGCAGCTGGTTGAGCTGCAGGTGCTCCACAAATGTTTAATGGAGGAGAGTGTGTGCGTCTAAGTGATGGTGGGTGGGCTTTTGAATGCCTTTAAAAGATGGAATTTATTTATGAGAATCAACACAAACTGACAGGTTTAACACAGAGCACGACCTGTGAACCTGCCGTTGGTTTATTGATCAGCTTCATGGAAAAAACATGCATGGTGTGAAGAGTTTCAAGTCATTATGCTGCCACAAAGATCAGATGTCATGGACGGTATTTCAAAGACACAGTTCTTATTCAGAACAATAATAATATTATTATTCAGAACAATATTTGTAATTAAACAAAATCAAAAACTAATAATATTTAATGCAAATGTTCTTGTGTTATTGTCTGTTTTTCCCACATTCTACTGACTTGGGCTCTAGTAGCAGAGCTAACACCTTTGAATGGACTTACCAGCAGCGCTTCCTGGTTCTCAGCCAGTGCTTGTTTGGCCAGGTAACGCTCCCTCTTTATCTTCAGCTCCAGGGACTCAGGGACATCAGGTACGATCCAATCAATGGCTCTCAGCACAAAGAAAACCACATGCTGGAGGAAGGGCAAAAAGCCAATCAGACCAATGAAAAACTGTTTATCTTTCTAGATTTCTATTGTGTTTATTTATGAAAAAAGCAGAGGTTGTTTTCATTTGGTGTTTTTAACCTCTAAATGTGCACAACATGCCATTGAAAGGTGTTTAGCTGAAATTTTAAATGACTATGTTGCACTTATTAGGATCTATTAAGTAACAGCAGAACATGTAGGGCCTAGTCTTGCATAAATTTGATTACGACTTATTATTGTAAATCACATGTGCGTGTGGCAGCTGCCACGCATCTATGTGCGTGCCACACCTTTTACAGTACTTATATTAATCTAAACAAAGTAAAAGTTAAAAGTTTAACTGACCCTGACTCTTACTTTTAACAGCAGATTACCAACCACTGTGATTAGGTTTAAATATTATGTTCACGGTGATAACATTTCTCCAAAATGAGAAACAACAAAATAAAAATCACCTCAAAAGCAATGATAAAACCAAGTCTAACAGCCAGGAGTTCCCAATAGAAGAGTGTGTAGGTTCCATTGTTGTCTCTGTAAGCTTTATATCTGTAAAAATACACAAACAAACAGTGTTTAACATACCGGGTGATATTAGATGTCTTTGAAATGTGGATGCTGTTGAGAAGAACAAATCTCAGTGGTAGTGCTGCCCTCTGTTGGTAACATCAAGTTTATCATGTAACATTATACAGCTTACCTGCACATTGGATAGTCAGTGTAGTTCAGTGGAGCATAGGCCAAGGAAAAGTTGACATATCCGTTAAGATCATTGTCAAACTTGTACCGGTAGAGGAGACGAGGTAAAAAGTCTGAAGTGAAGGCGATGAGAAAAGCCTGCAGGAGGGAAAATGAAGTTAAATAGAAAAAAAAAAAAACTGCCTTCATCACGATGCATTAATGACAGGGTTGCACAATATTATGAGATCAGATCATTATTAGCTGATCATGGTTTAGCTTTTTATCCCATAACAAATTAAAGCTGATTAACTGATTGAAAAAAGATAGGCTGGAGTTCTGTAGAGCTGACGTCAAACTCCTGCTTAGCAACTGAACCATTAGCATAGGAGCTAAAAACAGCTAACTTGTTTTTACTGTGTCAGAAATTGATTGTATTGATTTGTTGTTTGTTTGCCATCACAAAGAAGCTAACCTCAGTGAGAAGCTGTAGCTGCAGCAGTTAGCATGTAGGCTAAAACCCAGAAACACAATGTTTAAACTGAAATGGCCAAGGAAAATAAACAATGTGTTAAATTACTGTAAAGGTTTCATGTGACATTTTAATTTATTTGTTAATACATTTGGCCTTAATGAAATATTTTATGTCTCTCCACTCCAGGTTTGAGATAATTTCTATTACAAAAGAACATTGTATTGTACAACTATGTATTTCTGTTTTTCAGAAACAAAAGGGCATATGATGACAATTATTTTTCACTATAAAATTTTAAATTACTTATTGCGTCTGTACTGGTCATGAGGACCACATAATTATTAGTTAAAAAAGTCCATATCGTGCATCCCTACGTTAATCATTATGTTTTTATGAGCAGACTCACATTAGCAATGACAGAAAGGTGGGACAGAGCCTCCAGGATGTTAAACCACACTCCAATGTTCTGAGCTCGCTCAGCCACCGGCCTCCGATACTCACACACAAACTTGTGTGAGTCCAGACGGATTTCCACCCAGTTGTTGAGGAGAGCAAAGAGCGGAGCGAGTGGGAAGGCAGCTACAAAGATGGTAATGAACCCAAACTGGAGCACTGCAACAGAAGGGTGTGTTTTAGTTTGTTAGAACTCATTAGAACTCAGTGACAGATTTTAAATGTGACAGCCCAGACATTTACCCATTTCCAGATACTCTTCAAAGAGACCTTCACACTCCAGCAGCTGGTAGTCTTCCTCCCAGCGCTGAGGCGTATACGATGCCTTTTTGCCAAGCACTTTTGCCAAAGTTCTTTTCTGGCGCCAGGCCTTTATTTTGCTGTCAGAGCAGGGAACACAAGAGTATAATTTCTGATTTGAAACGCCAGTTCAAAAGCAATCAGAGCATGGGATAACCTACTGTATAAATATTAAAAAGAGTTTCACATTTCTTTTTTTGTCTACTCTATATTTTACTAAAATATAGTAGTTAGTAGTTAAAGTATTACTTGTATTTTAGCTTATAAATTAGCTGTAAAACACACTAGCTACATGGTCATTTTTTTAAAAAACAAAAGCCCAAGAAAATACATTCAAATGAAACCCTTTTGCAGATGTAGTGGACAATTTTGGAGTTTAAAGTACTGTAGTAAAAATAACACACAGTGTGCCAATACTGCAGAGTCACAGTAGTAAGGATTAATGCAGCAAAAACAGCAGCAAACAGATTACTTAGCAGCCTCTACCCCCCAAAAAATACAACTAGTCATTTAATTTACAACAAACCAATGACAGCAGCTAGATTATTTATGTATTAGTTATGACTGTTGAACATTTTTAAGCACTCTCCAATTCTGTAGGATATTGAGTATCAGTTTTAACTGCCAGATAAACTATTCTAAAAACCAGTCCAGTTGTAACATACGGGATAAGGAACTCCTGACAGTTGTTGATAAGTTGCTTTCCCACCATAATGATGAAGAGTTGCTCAGCCAGTTCAATAAGACAACCACCAGGACCACACTGTGGACAAAACACAGGCAAAGATTATTGCTCTGTTTACCCTGCAGTGATGGCTGGATCGTCATAAAATATTCAAAATAATAGACACAGCTTACATCTTCATTTCTCATCCCAAACAATGTTCCATAGTTGGTAGGATAACCTACAAACCTGCACACATAAACAGAGAAGACATTTTTATCTAACTTCACCCCCATTTACAACAATTTGTAATTTTGTTTTGTCTGCGCGCCAGCTGACTTTTGTCTTACCTTCCTTTAAAGAAAGCCACATAAAAAGGAGAAGAGTAGAAGTTGACAAACTGGAAAATGAAGACCTTGAAGATAAAGGCATTTTCATACTGCGTTTGTGTTCTGTGCATCTCTGAAACAGGTGAGATAAAAACAAGGACACAAGTATGGCATAATTATAAACAATTATTGAAGGGGTAATAACTATATATAACTAATATAAGCATATAAACATACAAACATGTTGAACTGCTTACTAAAACCAAGGACAGTGAAACTGTTAAAGAAGACAACAGCAATACAGGTAAAAACCAATAGTCCTAATAGAATAGGTAAAAATAGTCAAATAAAACCAAAGCAGGAAAAATACACAGACATATCAAAATGGCATAATATATTTCAAGATTTTAAGACCTTAAAGCAGAACATCCAAGGACAACTCCCAGTCAACAGTAACTCAAGTCAAAAGCCTGTGTAGTCATGTGACCTGACTGGCCTCAATGACTTGCAATGACCATTACACTTCTGCTCTTATGCTAATCCGCATTTCAGATTTGTGCAGCACAATGTAATACATCCTCCTTCAAAATCATGCTTCGTTTGCACCACACTCTTGTTTTTATTTTAATTCTTTTTTTAACAGACCTTAAACACACCTGATATTTAAATATAAACACAGACAGGTGACATTAACCTTACCCCATTTTGTGAGCTGCTCAGCTAAAGCAGTGTAGACTCGTCCCATCAGCAAGATGAGGCCCAGATTGACAATACTGCTGAGGATGTTGGCAATGGTCCCTGCCTGATAAACAAGTAGACAAACAAAAAACACTCCATGCATTAATGAACATCATGTACAACCACAGACACACAGGCTCAGGGAACACCAGTCTGTTGAAAAACTGTGTAACTCTGACAGAGTTTACCTCTGTACGCAGGACAGGGCTGCCTGTCTGGAACATCATGACACTGATGATGCCTCGACACATGACCACCGTCACCAGAAAGATCATCACCACACACAGCTGAAAAGAAACAAGTAATTAATGGTCTTGAAAAGCTGTGTAGCTTTAATTGCAGCAAATAGCATTATTGTATTTTTCTTTCTATAGAAACAATAACTGTAACTGCCTATTATTAGCTCACCAGCCCAGGGTTGGTCTTATAAAAACAGGCAGTAATTATAAGCCATTAGCTGAGATCAGACTTAAATTTAAAATGTATTTGGAGTTGGCTCACAGTGTGAATCTTTTCCTATTTTCCAGATTTAGAACACCATGATACCAACGGTCAGCCAAATGTAGTCTCCACAATGGTCAGCCAAAAAATTAGCCTTTTGAAATTACGTCTACACGTCTATATATTTCACAGAAATTGCGTATAGTGACACACGGTTATTTCTATTTGCAGTTTAATGCGTAAAGGTTGTTGAATTAAGGTGTGTTAATTTGTATCAGACAAAAATGTAAAAGGAGTTCCCGTGATAATCTAATTCAAATCATACAGCTGTCACTCCACACTCCAAGTTCAAGCTGAGGAGTTGATCAAGTCTCACCATCATGATGATGACCATGGAGCCAGTGAACATGCGAGAAAGCCTGGTCTTTTCTGGGAAGTAGGGCTCTTTGACTCCAGTCACTGGATTCTGCTCCATTCTTGGAGCCATGGCAGCAAACTCTGGACGAGGACGCTCCTGAGGACAAAGACTTCAGCATCAGTAGACTTCACTTTTTAGCAGATACCATTGAGCAGCTCAGCTAAAGGCTGAGAGAGTGTAAAACCTCTTCTTCGTGGAAGTCCATGCAGTCCCAGTGATGGGCCAGTGTTGACATCTTCCTCTTCCAGTATTCCAGAAAGGTCACAGCCCAGAAGGACATGAAGACACTGAAGAGGACTGTCCCTGGATGGTCGAACAAGTAGCCAAGCTGCAATGCAGAGAAATACAATACAGACACATATGGTTTCTCACCTGTTTCCTCACTCAGGCTGTGCTTTGTATAAATAAATTGTTGTAAAAGTTCCTCACCTTAGCCATGGTGCAGATCTCAGACATGTTCCAGGCCTTGCATGTGTTACATAGAGGACACATTAGATAAGTGGCCTCACTGGTACAAATCTCCTTACTGAAGACACAAACAAGGACACAGATTGGTTGCACAAAAGAACATGTTATGAGAACTTTAAAGACAGGAATACTTTTATATTTAGATAATGTAGGGATCTGTAGCAGGAGATATCAGGCACTTCAGAAGCATTCATTTAGAAATAATAATGTAATAGCTGAGACTGTAAGTGAATCACAGTGGAGTTAATGGATCCCAGCTCTCAAACACACCCAGAGACTATTGAATTGAGGATGAGAGAAAAAATAGATAAATGTGATAAAATCTGACTTCCAGTTTACTGATCGGTAATATAACTGCTACCATTCACTGGCAGAATTTTTAAACCTTTTTCAAGAAGACCTTTTTTTTACCATTAACATAGTTTCAGGAAATCTGTCTGGATCAGATCTGTTCACAAAAACAGTGCAAATTCAAATTCATTCAGATCACATTTCAGTGATTAAGTCTTTAAAATATATACAGTGTCCATATATTTGCTGTAAATGTTTTAGTGAGAGTTTTTTGCTACATGTTTGACAATCAATTACCAGGAAAAAATATCTTCAGTGAGCCTCTGAAGTCTGCATTGAAATAATGATGAAACACAGTGGGATGTTTCTCTTTCTTGTTGTTGAAATACAAAGATCATTGAATGTAATAGTATCTGATTATATGACACAGTTGCATTGGGTTTTTACTGGAAACATGATTAGTCTACCGACCACTAATCAATGATCTTCAACTGGAGTGTGTACAAAACCAATTGTCAAGCACTTGGACTGTCTCTGTTTCAATCACCTCTAATGTTACTCAAGGAAACAAAAACAAGAAGATATCTCAGTAGACTGACAAGTAAAGACATAAGACACTGGTGACACTAAAACCAAGCCACCTGGTGGAAGACAAAGGAATTTACACTGCTGTACAGAAGGCAGAAAATAAAGGCTACAGATTTAATATGCAATAAACAAATAAGTTAAAAACTAATGTGAGATATTTGTGTATACTGTTAAAGTCAGTTTCAGCTGAACCAGCTCAGCTGGGAGATTTAAGATAACAGCAGTTAATCTTGTGAATTGGAATACCGTACATATGTGGGCTACAAGTCCAGGTCTGGTAGCTAGCATCTAATGTAAAAGATTTAAGACACTGCTGTTGATGTCCAGACAGAGCAACATTCATGACAGAAATCTAAAGTAAAAATTGTGCAGAAAAGAACATTTCTGTTGAACAAAATAAGTTGACCTGTAACATCAATTACTCTAATGTTTAATGTATGTACTTAACACTATTTGATTTTGTCACTTTTACATAAACCATCTAATGGAGACTAGAGCAGCTTTATTCTACTGCCTTGTTGGAATAATCTACTGACGATTGTGAGCCAGATTATTATTGTTTTGAATTACTTCTTGTCTTCTTTTGTTTATATTGTCACAAATCTCACTGATGACTAAGAGGAGACAATACACTTAAGGCTTCCAGAGCATATTTCAGCATACTACAAATATCTTTACACAGCCAAATGATGCAAGATGATATTTATGACTTAGTAGCCTCTAAACTCCTCCAGACATTTACTGTTTTTCCTTCAGAGCCCGTCACTGACTTACTATAGGTGCCATATTGTGTTACAGCTTAATGTTTTTGTTTGGTTGTGGTAGAAACTGTGAGTGATTTTAGGCCATAATGATGAGAGTGAGATGACAGGAAATGAGAAGAAACGGGCTGAGAAAATGACAGGAACCAAAACAATAAATGGTTCCGATGTCTCAACAGCCTTAACACCTCAGCTGTCAGGACAATAACCATCAGTGATACATCAGCTGAACACCGCTCAACACTTCATTAACTCTGTAACAGCTTGAGGAACGTTTCGTAGGCTCTGGTGGTGAGAATGTATACTGCGTTTGTTGCACGTTGACTCACGCTGGTGTGTTGCTGCTCATGGACATGACTCCAGACATGAAGACCAGGGTTCCAACCACTGCAGCCGGCAGCAGCCAGGCCGTGTAGAAACCTGCAGACAAAAAAAGCTCCTTTAGGCTGCAGTTCTCTGGCACACAGTTGTACACCTGCACTGCTGTGTATAACTGTGGAGTGTCCTTGGCAGCAAAGAAACTGACTGCAGCAGTGCCTCCAACTGATCTTTCCATCAGGGTAGAATATTGACATTTGTACAATATATATAGGTCGACCTTGTGCTATGATTCAAAGACATTGAACTACAGTATGTGACAGTCTTTGTATGTTGTTATCTGTTGGCTACTTTACATCTAGATTATTACTGCAATTTTTCCGTACTGTGATCAATTTTGGGCAATATTTGTCAAATATAGCACGTCTTTTAGATAGTATTTTTAAACAATTTTTATCCATAATATTTCACATGCTAAAATAATGTTCTATTCATTCAATGTAGCATTAAAGGTAATAGAAAGAAGCATGAACTGAAGAAATGCATCAAATCTTTCAGTTTATCTAAGGATATAAAAGCCTTAAAAAAAGTGTTCCTAGAGAAGCACTTTGTAATTAAAATTGCAATAAATTAAACCAGAAGTGAAGATTAAATGGGTTTATATCACTGTGTGTGTGTGAAGATTAAATGGGTTTATATCACTGTGTCTGTGCATTAGAGAAGAGCACACGTTTTGAAATATTCAGTAAAACATTAAACTCTGACTCTGTAATGATTTTGGGCTGTATTTCAAAATAAATAGTTATTATATTTCCGTATTATTTAGAGAACAGATAGTACTTACCCAGCCAGGCAAAATATAGAGCAATCTTCTCTCCAAAGTATTCCCTGATATGATCCAGGGGCTGATACTTGTACCACTTGCCCCAGCGAGCCCAGTAGTGGTAAAGAACCTGCCTCTGATTGAGCTCATCAGGTCGGACCCCGTACTTAGGAAGCTCAAAAGCGCCCTGAAAAAACACCACCAATAAACATACAATAACTAAAGATAGCTGAAGTTTAAAGGCGGTGTAGAACTTCTGTGACCTCGTGCAGAGGAAAAGCTGCAGTGAACGCCCCCTCATTTATCAGTCTGTCCACTCCAGCTTCAGTTTTCTTCTTCTTGCCAAAAACTGTGCTGGAGAGAATCTCATACACCTAAAGCCAAACACAAACTCTGTTGGATGAAATTAGCATGGCACGGACTCAGTGTTTCTAAAGTGCTGTCACTCACAACGCGATGTCTCTGTGTGTTAGTGAAGTAGTTGTCATGGTTGTCACAACCAAGGAACCTGTTGAAGACAGTTGAACTCTAACATCCACTGTGTACAGACTGTTGATTAAACCCACTCACTGTAAGTGCAGCAGAAATCACCTGTTCATCTTTGACTTGCGAAAGGCACATGTGTAATAGTCCAGCGGCCTGTTTGGCACCGAGTCTGCCATGACATTAGGGATGCATAGTTTTGCCAGTACCTGAGCAGATGTGTTCAAGTCCAGATGAAGCTGTGCCTGGAAAACATTGACCAAGTCATTATTAAGACCACTTCATGGACTGTTTTATTAAGCACACTTAAAATTTGCCTATTTCAATTTTAAATATTTTAAATACATATAATTTACATAGTTTTGGACACTTAATATATACTGTACATCTTGCTGTCTTGAAATGCTCTTGCAGGAGCAGCCATAACACCAACAATATCCTGCAGTGATTATTAAAGTATTTCTTATACGTATACTAGTTTAAAAAAAATAGTAGAATTAAGGTTCTATTACAACTGGTATTGGAGGTGTACAGCTCCAAAAATCAGACAGTGCCCAGTGATATGGTACCATAATAATGTCAACCTGTAAAAAAAAAACATTTTGTACCAGTGCACTCTGCTTAACCAATGCATACGCATTTTGTTTGTAGCACCCTTTGAAGGAGAGTGAGCAACATGTTTTGCTTTTCTTCTGTATTTTCTTTCGCATGTTTCTCAAAGAAACATTTGTAATTGCGTACCTGTAATGGAGCTCTGAGACAGAGTTCCTCTGCATAATAAACCAACACATCCCAGGGAGCGCTGAGTTTCAGAAAGTGTATCGTCTTCTTTTCATTAGCTGTTTCCTCCTATATGGTGATGGGAGAAGAAGAGAAGGTGGAGAAAAAAGGATCAAAAATCTGTATATATATATCTATGTACTGTATATTAGAGTTGGTTTGATCTGTACCTTTTCCATGAGCAACCCAGTACTTTCTAGATTCTGAACAAACTTCTCCCTCCACTGTGCCAACTGTGCCTTCCTTCGCTCAGACCTGCTGTTCTCTTCTGTGGGCACGCTCTCTCCTTCCTCACTTGGCACCTCAGTCTTCCCCTTTCCTCGCCTTTTCCTACGTGAGCGTACCTCCCACACAAGAACGAAGTCTAATATTACCATGGGGATGAGAGCCAAAAGATTAATTGGAGGACGTTTTGGCCATTCATCAGAGACTGAGCTTGCAACAGCTTATACTTTGCCAAGTGCTGACGCTGCCTACCAATCTTAGTCCTTCCATCTCTGAAGTAATTCCCCAACTGTGGAACTGGATCATTACTTTTCGGCATCCACTGCATGGGAATGGAATTATTACTGTCCATATCATCGTCATCAGCAGCTGTGGCTGAAAACTGAAAACAGTTGCAGATTAGTAACACTGAACATAAAAGAAGTCAATGTCCCAAACAATGATGCCAAAATATTCAGTTCAATTTCTTTTCATATCTAATGAAATTGAAAAGTAAAAAACAGTACATGGTTCATTAAACATCACAAAAAAACTACAAAAATAAAAACTGTAAAATCTGTTCATTTGAAACAAATGACAATCCTCTGTTCCATAGAACGATTCATTTCCTTGTGATAGCGATGAGGCTAAAGAAAGGAGTTAATGACTAATGCTTCGCCACATTAGTGTAAGGCTCTTGAGTGCAGCAAACATATAAATATTCTCAATATATTTATATACTTCTGAGCTCACAGTAAAAAACTAACAGCAGTGTGAATAAGCATTTAGATCTTTCTAGTTTAAAACTAAAAAAACAAACACTGCAGCATAATAAAGAGATGGAACAAGAAAAACTTACATATCTTGGTGGGATGATCCCTCCATTGTGCAGACTTCCATAAGTGTCAGTGGTTGGTGCTTCACTCCCGTAGTCCACATCCAGGAGGACTTCTTTGTCACCTTTCACCATCTCACAGCCCCTCCTCAGCATGATGTGACTGCACACACACACGCGTTTAAACTGAATTTCCAAGTATTTCTACATATGAAGACATCTGTTCCTGCCACATAACTACTTAGACATAAAAGGATAAAAAAATGCTGATACCGTACCTTAACTGGTGGTGAGAATGATGCTGCTGCCGCTGCTGCTGTGGATTTGCAGCAGTCTGTGCTTCCCACCTTCTCCCCCCTCCTCTCTATCTCTGCATCCGTCTGGCTCCTCTGCTCAGCTGATAAATAGCAGGGGTAAAATACCGTAATGGACCTAGTACGCAGGCAGCAGCAAATACACTGCTGCCTCTGTGAAGGGAAATGTACTTCAGGAGTCGCACTACAAGGCAGTTCACCACTTAATAAATAATGCAGCAGTCAGTCAGAGGGCAGAGCCTGAGGATTCTAACACACCAATAATGCAGGATTATACATGTGAGAGGGAACCCCTCGCCCTCCCCCGCTCCCCCCATCCTCCTCCCTGATGTTAAGTGTTTCTTTCCTCGCCCAAAAACAAGCTCTTCTTCACATTTACCTTGATGGGGTATAAAACCAATTAGCATAAATTATGACTAGCACAGAAACCCCACCCACCCAACCACCCATGGCCTCATTCTCCTTTCTAATAAATACAAATAAAACACAGAGGCATGACAGTAACCTTAACAAGCACCAGCGCCATGGGTGACAATTTGTTTTCCACAGATTCTCTCCTCCCTTTCAGTTAACTGCATTGCTGCAGTGAGGAGAGGGTTGAGTGGAAGAAGAGCATGTAGCAGTGTCAGGAGGAGAGGAGACACATGGAGGGAGTATAAATTAACCATATGCCGTCAGTGAGATGTTGAATGTTGGGCTGTTTTTTTTTTTTTTTAGAAACAAGACAACAAGACATTGTACAGAACCTCAGCTATAAACAAATGAAAATTTCTCATTTCATATAAATGCAAATTAACACACAGAGGTTCTCACATTAGAAATGTAGATCAACTGTATGTACATTTGAAAAATGTGGGACCCCATTGTTTTTTTATTTTTAGTGGGTGCCACACATTAAAAAAGTTAAATATACCAAAATCTATAGTTTGACTTATATTAAAATAGCTATTTTCCAATAAAGGTTCAATATGTACCACGGAGTATTAGTGTATTAGGTCCACCTTTCCTTCCCTTTGCTACAACAGTATTAACATTACAGAGCACCTTATTGGGTCATTGAAGCCATGGCAATGACACATAAAAACAGAGCAGACAATACTGGTGGTAACCTGTTGTCCTAGCAACTAATACCTTTGCCAAATCAATAATATGTGAAATCTCAAATTAAAGCAGCTGGAAATAAAGAGGAAAGAAAAGGCAGTGAAAGTTACATAATTCCTCCTGTTAAATGTTCATCTGCCTGCTCTACCTACAAACTTTAACTACTGCACAGTGTCCAACCCATAAAGTGGTAGTTGTTGGGGAAAACTATTTAAAGCCCAAGCTTTCTGGCACCAACTCATTTGATCCTCCAGGGAACAATAATGTAAATCTGATTCATTTTTGATTTAAAAGTCAAAAAAAAAAAAAAAAAAAAAATAGACTGACATATTTAGCATACATATTACTACAGGGTAACAGTTTTAATTAACTTTATTCTGTTAATCTGTCCAATCACAACGGTTTATGTACATCCTTTACCATTAACAGTATAAAAACTTCTAAACATGCACATCTCTACACTATGTGTGTTTGAGTTAACGATACGCCATACTAAATTACTGTACTATTTACAATTCATTAAAGCTATTAAACAGAAATATTACAAGCAGATTAGTTGTTAAAAAAACTAAATTAGTTTTAACAAAGGCATCATTCCAAGGATGTCATCCATCATTGGCCAGCAATGTCACACTCCAAACACTACTCAATATTTTTCATTTTACACCTTTTGGTTGTAACTCCGAGCACTTTTCCTCATCAACAATGTTACAAACAATTCAAGTAAGCGTAACTATATCAACTCTTCCAACTCTTCTTAAGCAATCCACTTCACAGAATTCCAATAACAAAGACAACTCCAATTCACGAACAAACACTCAAAAAAAAAAGTTATTTTTAAATAACCTACACAAACAATACTTTCTCTTCTCTCTGTGCACAAAACAACTTCATATTGCTAAATGGAATAACATTGAAACAAATATTTTCAATAAATGATAAAACTTGAAAAACAGCAGCAATTGAAAAAAATGATTAAAGACTACCCGGCAGGTGAAAGGATTTGAATGCAAAGTAGCTTTTAAACCTGAGATTAGATTGTTTTGCAAATAAGTGAAACTGAGTGGCATCCTAAATGATTTACGGCTCTGATGAATGCAGACTTCTGTAACATTTATCAACGCGTTTGTACAGATGTTTGACTAGAAGGTACTGGATGTACACAACGAGAATAATAATAATTTGGGAACTTTTGTTTAGCTATTTTTTCCTCAGTGTTATATGGGTTTGAATGCCAACCAGACAATAACAGATGGTGGGGGAATAATTTTTGCAGTGCAAACCCATTTAAGGCAACTTATAAATATAAAACAGTGGTTCACTTAGTGTGACCAACTTTATCAATATTTACCTATGATTGTGAAAAAGGCCACATCGTTGCTGCACAAGAAACCACATTTCTTTACAAAGCAGCAGCAGTACTTTTTGCTAAGTGTAATTTACATTCTGTTATAATACCCAATGAAAAATACCCTGACAAAGCATGTTTTTTCAGTAACTACTGTGTATTCCTCATGACTGTGCCAACTTCAACACCCAATAAAAGAATGTGCTCATCTGTCACTGGATAAACGGCTAACAAACCTGTTCAGCTCAAATACAGAAAAACACTGCACCCAAGAGGTTATATGTAGGAAGTGCAACTAATTTGCACGAACGCAAAGGGGAAAAAATTGCTTTAGGTAGGGCACTTAAATCTATGTGTTTCCCAGGAACATGAGTGCATCACTCGCTCTGGTTGGTTGGTCAGGCTTGTCTGAGCTAGCCAAGTAGTCACACGTTAGGATGCACAATCTGCTAATGCCATTAGCCGCTAGCAGTAGGCCCTGAGGCCGAGGGGCAGCAAGAAATAAAATTCTGCCTCAACTCCCAGTCAATAAAGTAAACAGATATTCTTAATAGTAATTGAAGTATTTATCACAATATAAGTAAAACTACACTTGTACCATTTAACAAAATTGATGTGCAAGTATGCATGGAAACCTCCATCCAGCAGATGAAAGTGTAAAAAAAGGAAAATCTTTCATTTTTTAGAATCTTTTTTTTTATATTGATCAACCTTTAAGCTGAGAAATAAGAAATTTAGAAAAACAGAAGAAACCTATGTAACAAAGCGTAGAATACATGAGTTATCATACTATCCTTACTGATCCTTGTTAACGCTGTATGGAGGAAAGAATAATCTAATAAAAAAAAAGCTCCAAAATACAACCATATATCAGACCCATAAATAATGAGATTTAGGCTTCTATATGTACTAAGCAGACTTATCCCACCTAGGACAGGTGAAGAAATCAAAGCTAGTTGTGTTGTATGTGTTGTTATTCCTGCCTACAAGGCCCTACAGACCAGGTTTGGGAAACAGTCACCTGGGGTTTGGTTTAAAGTCACAAACCAGATTTTTAAATAGTAAACAAAATATAAAGGGATTGTATTTTTCATAGGCAAGGGAAAAAAAACAACACCTGCTTCATTCATATATGGCTTATTTGATATGTACTGTACTATATTACAAGAATTATGGAAGAAGCAGAGACATCAAAAACCTTAATACTGTTATCACACTTGTGCATAGAACCTGGTCACGGATCGTTCCCACTTCTATTTAGTGTTTGTATCAATATTCATCACTGATTCAGATTATTTAATTTAATGCAACATTTAAATTGAATTACCCACCAACTGCTTAAATATGACTTGTGTCAGTGGGTTGGGGCTAAAATATTTGTTAAAAAGTTTTTTTTTTTCCATAACACAAATCAGTGTGCCATTCAGCAAATCTATCTCTCTCCATACACTGATGATCAGTGTATTCAGCAGGTACAAAGCAGAAATTGTTATAAAGTAATAGAAATCAGTTGTTTAAATAATAATTATACTATAATTAATAATATTATACGCTTTAATTTGTGTCGTAACACTGTCACATGTACAGCCACAGTGTACAGTCACATAGATCGTCTGGTACTCGATACTTTGGAACCCAGCCTAGGGCAGAAACCATCGCCTGCATTTATCTACCTTTAAATAGAATATGTCTTCATTCAGCTGGAAGTCGATTCATTTTCTTTTTAAAACTAATGTCTTACTGATGCATCTGTGCAAACATAATGTGCCTTACACCTTTCTACGTCTTCTGGATGTTCCTCCAATAGAAACATTCCATCACTGTGTCACTGAGAATTTTGTCCTGTTTAAGTCCCGTCAGAGTCAGGCTACCCAAACATAGTCCTGTGTGTCCTCACATACATGTGGCTCCGTCAGCACCACGGTTCACGCTGGGCTCTGCCTCTGGCCAGACTGTCTGCCCTCTGCCAGGCACTTTTCATCAGGCCGAGGGCCTCACTACAACGCTTTTGCACTGACAGATCGGACACCACCTTGTGGGGAAGGTCAACCTGTGGACAGCAAGAAAACTTGAGGTTTTAAGATGTATGTACATTTGAGTTTATCGCCACAAATATACACTGGTGGAATAAATGCATTTTTATTGAGTTTCCCTGCGTCTTCTGACCTGAAATATGTCCTTCCATGTGGTTTCTAAGGCCTGCAGCAATCGATTTCTCTCATCACAGCTGCTGAAGTATAAGACCCACGGCGGGAGAAACTGGGTCCTATCGGCTGCAAACTCCTAACAACCAGATAAACCATGTTACAATGTGCACCAAAGTAGTTTGACCATAGATTAAATGCCATTATTTTACTTCAATAACCACCAAAACACTTAATAGGCACAGAATTTCTTTAGAAAGATTAGAGTTTATTATCCACAGAAATAGGTTAGTACTGTTTAATCTTCCTTGTAAAATCCTACCTCAGACACCTGACCTAAAAAGTAAAACTACAACAAACAAAAGTTTTGTTGTACATGTGCATAGAAATGAGAGGACTTCTTAGAATAGTAATACTTACTAACTGTTACCAACTGTTAATGTCCAGTAATTGTGGGGATCGTTTTGTGTGATCGCTAAAAAATCCAAAAATGCTAAACAAAAATTTTAGCTAACCCCCAGCACAAAAACAAAAAAGTTACTCACAATGACACAGTACTCCTTTTCATCCTCCAGGTTGACAGCGATGACATCACAGATATCAGCGCTGCCCAGAGAACGGAAAAAGCTGGTCTGACAGTCCTGATGGCAAGTTAACAGTTTTCTGTCTGTTAACACCAAACAGCATGGGATACATGGGGCGGGGGCCACACCCTGAGGGATGACCTGAAAGGAAGACCCTGCTGGTCATTATTGCTAAAATCCATCCACACTGATGTTGTGCACCAACAACCTAAAGGGAACAACAAAAACCTTTGGCAAAGAAATGTAGCAGGAAAGACTCCTCACCCCTTTAGACACAGACTGGCAGAGCAGCTGCATCCAGTCGGCCATGTCCTGCTCATTGTTGGCGCTGAGCTCCAGTGGTGGGCGCTCTGCCAGAATCACTTGGAAGGCGTGGGGCCGTTCTGTGCTGTTGGAACGTCTGCAGCCTCCACAGTGCTCCCCTCTGCTCACAGTAACAAGATTCAAGATGCCTTTATTTGTCAGTGAAATGATGATTGCAATTAGCCCCGATCGCACCAAAGCGGAAAAAAAAAGATAAAATAAAATAGAAAAGGATAAAATAAATATTAAAATAATACTACACCTAAATAAAAATAAAATGGAAAATAAACTGTATACATATTTACATGCTGAAAAATGTGTGAAAATGTAGTTGTTATCGCTCAAATGTTTTGGAACAATACTGAAACTCTGTTATTATCTTTCTGATAATGGAATCTTACCCCATGGTGATGGACAGCAGAGGTATCATGTCAGTTTTTTCTGCATACAGGAAAAGAATCCCTTTGCTGAAAGACAAGAATAAAAATGAGAACATTATCTTTTACAGAACATTACAAAAAGTCACTTAAAATTAGATTTAAAAACTCTTTATGAGACCAATGGTAACTTATTACCAGCTGGCTCATACCTGAGGATGAGGTAGCAGCTTTTCCACAGCTCTTTGCCCAGGTAGGTGGTTCCTGAACAGTACTGCAGAGTCCCTTCCTTTGTAGAGGAATGACCTCCAGGTGTTCCACTTTGAGGAGACAACACCATGTCCATGGGATCTTCCCAGTGGACCAGTGAATAAAGATGAATAGAAATTTCTGAAACCTACGAAAAGCAAGAGTTAATAATAATGGTTGCCCAGCTATAATGTGTGTACACTTCTTATCATTTGCAAATACAAGCAAATGTAATGTGTATAACCTATAGTGTGTCACAGATAATGTGTATAATGCAAAAGTCTATAATCAGCAATGCAATATGACACCACCATTAAAAGCACCATTATGAACACAGAAGCAAAGTTGCACAAAGATTTAAGCTGTTTGTCCATCCATTTACCTCACAGTGAGATTCCTGGGAAACAAACTTAGTCAGAGCCAGTTTTTCCATAGTTGCATCAGTCAGAACTAGGGGGTACGGAGGCTCACGACAACCTTTCACCATGGCTGATTTCAACACAGACAGGAACCAGCTGTATTTAAAAAGAAAAGTGAAGTATAAATGTCAACTGTGGATTTCACGTGTTGGTTCTTCACACGAGACCAAACATGAAAAAACAAACAGCTGCATATGAACAGCAAAACAGAGTTGTTATTATCAGGAAGGAAAAACCATAAGATCAGACTCACATTGTCAGTGAGCAGTCAGCTGTGTCCAACAGGAATTTTCTTCGCCTGTTGGTGCAAACCAATGTCACAGTCTGTTGGTCGAGACCCACCTAAAACAAAAGAAAAACCTCTCTTTAACTTCCTCTGTGTAAATGTGAGACCATGGCGAACTGTTTAAACACGACACTTACTGAAAGATAGTCCAACTCATTATAAGACACAGCATCTTCTACTGTGTAGGGTTTTTCTGCAGCACCTGTAAATAAATGATAAATCAATTAGTCTTTTTGACTTTTTGAGGTCTGCAGTCATGAGCTGTGCCTAAAACCATTTCTATATCCTGTATTTCTTGTCTATAATGTAGAGAATCGATAAAAGCAGAATTGAAAGTATTCTCCCATCTGGGATCTTCTGGGAACTTGCAGCACAAGTACTTTCAACGCCAAGAAGCAATTCATATTCATTTCAACATTTATTTCTATAAACATGTCGCAAGTGACAAAATCAGTGTCTGCAGCACCTACCCTTCCTCAGCAGGTAGATGTAACAGTCAGTGAGGAGCAGGTAAAGTGGCTGCAGGTCTCCCTCCATGTGACCTGTGCTCATCCTCACCATCTAACAAAATGCAAAACAAACATTAACATTTAGTTATGCCAAAGTATTCTATTATTTATTAGCTCAGACAATTGAATTTAAAATAATATATGCTGCCATTATGGATAGTTCACATGATGAAAACAGTCCAGTGAGTTTTTGTGCCCTTACCTTAAAGAGCTGCTCTTCATTCTCTCTGAACACATGGATCATAAGAAGAAGCAGGTGATTGTTGTCCACCCTGAAACATCAACAGTACAGCTGGTTAAAAATGTAAAAAACAAACAAACAAAAAAACAACAACAACAATATCACAATACCAAACTCAAAGTCTTCTAAAGAATCATCATACCTAAACTCTGCAGGGTGAGATGTTTCTGAAGGACTACGCTGTTCTTCATGCAGCTGTGTTTTTTTTGCATTCGTTTTATTCTGGTCTGGACCCTCGCCTTGGACGTCATCATCCTTTTCCTTCACGAGGAGTTCTTGTCCTGTTTGCGTTTTTGCTTCTCTTTCATCTTCATGGCCACCTGAAACAGTCTGTGATTGGCCATGCTCTGAAGTGTCATAGCAGCCACCACCTGCGGGAGCAGAGTCTGGACTGCTGGGGGAAGCGCAGGACGGAGGGGTCTGCAGAAACTGTGAGCCGTTGACCAGAGGGGAGTGAGGCGTCGGCCCCGATACGGGGTCAGGGGGCTTGCCCCCTGAGTCCTCTCGAAAGGGCTGCTGAGCCGGAGGCACAGGTTTCTGGTCATTGGATTTAGTTTCCCCCTCCTGCTTTTCTTCTGTGGGCTCCCACGGTTCCTCCTTATCCAAAACTCCATTAAACCTGTCTATGACCTCTCTGAGTGGTTGGCCCACACTGTCCATGGATGTGTCACTCATTTCCGGGAGACGCAAGAGGCCTTCTCCTTCATCCTCATCTCCCTCCTCCACTGTCTCTGACCCGACCCTGCTTCTGCTCAAACCGCCCTCACTATCCACATAAACTAGAGTGCAGTTCAACGAGTCCACATCCTCGGAGGCCAGGAGAGTGCTGTCCATTTCCATGTGATCAGAGGAGAAGGAGTTGTGAATGCTGCTGCTGGAATCTGTTGAGCCCTTTCCTCGTCGCTTCTTGGAAGATTTCCTTCTTCTGGCTATCCTGTAAGAAGTTATTGTTTATATGCATTTTATCAGTTTTAATAATAGAACATGTAAAAGACATGGACAGTGGTATTGCCACAGACAAATCTGCTTCGCTGTAAACGAACTATATAAAATAAATATGAAATGAAATCCTAAATAATTAAAAAAAAAACATTTCCAAGTTCAATAAGAATACATTTTGTTAAGTTCACAAATGCATTGTATAATTACTTAAAAAACATCATTTTAGGTTCTGTTGTTAATGGACAAACAGTGAAGGCTACACAGCTAAAACATGTCAGGATTCATTTTTTTTAAAGTACATCCTTTCGTTTTCCAAACCTTAATGACAGGTTCAATCATTTCTGGTGTTAACAATGTGAACACACTCCTAGAGGGTTTGCCATCGTACCTGATAACTTCCAGGTCATTGCTGGTGTTCTCTGTGTCCTCTCCAGTGTTGCTATTATGGCAATTGGCCACATGAACTGGAGTGACGTCGGCTGAAGTGTTGGTGGTGTTAGTGTCCGAGTCCTCGTTGAAGGGGTTGTGTCTGTAGGTGGGGCTGTGTTGAGAGGGATGGGCTGCTGCTTTAACCTTGACAGCGCTGGTACAAAGGACCACTCTGTCACTAATGACAGTTTGCGGATCAGAACCACTGGATCGTGGACAGCTGGCCTGGTCAGTCAGGTCACCTTCTAACATTGTGAACCAGAAGACAAAACAGTTTTAAATTCAGGTCAGCAGTGAACATCACTTCTTTTTAAACAGCCAAAGAAGAACACTTGGGTTTTGTTTCTCTGGTGGGAAAAATTTGGCCAATTTGAATTAAATGGTTGAAGTTGTTGTACACTAGTCCTACAACACATGTATCTATCACTCATTATTAGGTCAATGAAGCCATGCAACAAAACCTGTGTTTTCCTTTAACAACCTCCAACACTGGGTTAGGGGCAGAAGTGCTGACTAGATGTCCCTGCAGGGTCGGAGAGGCACAACGTCCAACCCCTGGGACATTACTTGTTTGATCAAGTAGCAGCTTTTATTGCATTGACACTGGGTTTGGTTGAACATAACTGATGTGGCTTTAACAGAATGACTATGAACAACATCAGCCAGAAGAGGCAGAAGGTGCTACTTGTTTTTTTTTTATATTTTTACACCACACATCTGTTGAAGTGAACCATCACCAGTGCCATACACCAAACACAAACAGCAGACAATAAGAAAACATGACACAGGCAGATATACATTGTACTGGACAAACTGGACAAGGTGAGTACCAACTGCTTCAAGCATTTATCTGGCTGTGAAAAATGACAAGGCCATGTGAGTTACACATGCAGTGAGTAAAGATAACAGTTCCCATGAAACAACACTGCACATAAACACAATCCCATCAGAAAATGTATAATTATATAAAGGTTTCTCAAACTTATTTCTGCAAATAACTGCTGTTTCTGTTCTGGTTCACATTGGTTAAAATAAAACCTGTTAGCACAATCAGGCTAATCAAATCCAATTAAATCTTCATTATATCCAGTAAATTAATAATTACAGTCATCAAAACTAATATCTAAAAAAAATGACACCATAAAACACTGGGACAGCTGAAACTTTCATATGTCAAACATTTTATTCTGTGACTGTCCTTAAACCTTAATTTCCATCAGGGAGCTACATTTTATAGAAAACATGTCTAATAGAGTGACTAGCAATAAATAAGCACACACTGGAAAAATCATGCAACATAGCGAGAGTAAAAAGAGGAGGGAGGAAGTGGTTGACCAATGTCCCACCTTCCCAGTCTGCACTTGGCAATGACTGCAACACAGGGAAGATGTCACCAAAATCATAATCTAAAAAAAGGAAGGATAACATTTAACATTAGAGAGATGTACTGAGAATAAAGAGATGGGTCATGACACACACACACAAAAAAAAAATTAAAACGTGAAAATCAAAATGACCGAATGGGTTGAGAAACACACAAGGTGACACACGAACAAAAAGAAGAACTAATGCAGCATGGTGTGGTCGGACATGGGGAAAGCATTCAACTGACCACACTGAGAACACTATCTAACGCACATGATACAGTATGATTCATTTAATCCGATTCACTATGGTGCGTCTGACTCATCATAGCCTTTTAGGTTCAACGTCATTTCTGATCCACACAACCTTTGGCTTAGAACAGTCCGTGGACTTAAGTCAACTGCAACAGAAATCAACAATTAAAGGCTGATGTTTCTAATGTAACCATTTAGCAGCATATTAACAGAAAAGTGTGGTCTAGATAATGGCAGTCAGTGCATACAATAACTGACATCACATACAGAATAGACACAAAAAAATGGAACATTGGTTGGGCATAGCACAGCCCTGGGTATTAAATGTAATAATATGCAGCTGTCCTTTAAACTGTATTTCCTCAAATAATACATCACATCATCACATTAATTAAAAGTCCACTTTCAGCAAAAACAAACCATTTCTGCTGCTCTCCAAAGATATGTAAAAGCCTTCAATTATGCAAACATCATATTCCATTGCAAGAAAAACACTGCATGCCTTACCTTCACTAGAGGGGGCTATGGCACTGTCGTCCCACTCCAAGTTGGTGGATGTCAGGGAAGTAAAGGAGTGTAATGATAGACTGTCAGAACTGGGCAGCCTCTCTTCAAAGTCCAGGAGGTTATGTGGTTTGTAGTACTCTGGCATGTAGGGGGCCACGTCCAAATAGGGCACATCCTGAACAGACACGACCCCACAAGAATGTTACAAAGATGTTAAGGACATGTTGAATTATTACAGCAATTAAACAGTTTCTAACCAGCTCCAGATCGAAGCGAATGAACTCGAGGCCAGACACCAATGTGAGGAAAAGAGTGAGGTGGTCATGACTGCAAACTAGTGCATTCCTGTAAAGGAGAAACAAGTATAAGATTGATGTTTATGTTATGTATAAGAAAGTGTTTTTAAGTTTGATCACAAACCTATAACAGAGTCTAAATAACATACTTGAAGTAATACTTGTGCAATAATCCTTGGTTTTCCTGGAAAAGGCGCAGGTAACTTTCCAGAGAGCTCTCACTCAAGGCAAGGTATAACCAGGCTCGACCTGAACACAACACATGAGTTCTTTTTCTACAGAGGCAGGATGATTCAATGAATTATTCCTGATGCTCTTTTAACCCTTGACTGTGCACAACTGCATTGGAGATGTCTTACTTCGACCCAGGTGGGTTGCTATGTGTTGCAGTTCATCTATTTGTCGAACAGCTTCTCTCCTGGTGAAGTGAAGGACCAACACCCAGTAGCCTGATGAGATGTCCTGCAGCCTGCAATGGTGAAAACAATATCACATGCATGGTCCTGAAGGCAGACATGTTCCAAACACATAATCACTGTCAAAACCAGACCTGGGCACAGAGGGCCGCTGTGGCTGCAGGTTTTTCTTCCAACCTATCCAGAACACACTGACTGACCAATCAGCTGTCTGAAGACTCATGGCAGTTGATTAAATAAGTCAAGACAGGTGTGCTGCTGCATGGTTGGAACAAAAACCTGCAGCCACAGCAGACCTTTGTGGACTTAATTGTCCATCCTTGATCAAAACTGACCTGACACCTCCAATAATGGACAGATATTTGATATTGGTGAAGCACTGGGTATACTTTAAAACATTTTGTCTTTCTTGGGCCAAGAGACTCTTACCCATAGAGCAGGGCATGATCAAGGTGTTCGCAGAGGCGTTGCAAAACACGGTCGTGGTTTCTGATAGCTGGAGTCTCATCCTCACAAGCTGCAAAGTAGCTCTGCAACTGCAGACATTGCAAAAAATGATTGCACAATTTCCAGTTACAAAGTTGCTACAATGTGACTTTTAAATGTGTTTGTAGGTTGTAGAGTTTAAATTTACATTTACAAAGTTGAAGTAGTTTGGTCAATAATTTTTATTGACCAAACCAAAACATGTAAGTAACTGTACAGTTTTTAAAAAGCTCCCACAGACAACTAGTTCATTCCTAATGATAGTAGCTTAATTTTGCAAACACCAACATCTGATCCTATTATTCAACTGAGACTGGGTCTTCTAAATTAACCCAAAATATTTGTGCCAAAAATGTAATAGTTTTAAAAGCATGATATTTCAAAGTAATGTTTACTGCACATCCAACACTTTATATAAAATAAAAATAAACTATAGATGATAATTAATTCTGCATGCAAAATGTACTGGACTCTATGTGAAGGGAACACTGGAAGAGAATTAACATTAAGACAGTAATCTTACAAGGAAAAACATAAATTAAGTCACCAAGGCCTTGAGGGCAAAACAGTGAAAAGCTGCTGACCTAAATGTGTTGTGATATTCCACTGTGCTCATACATACTGCTGGTAGTTGTTTTTCCCTGACAAATTGTTTCTAACTCATATGGACACAGTTGTTTTTTAAGAGGCTGTTTTGCATTTCAATTGTTACTTACTCATTTCAAACCCAATGTACTAGCATTGACTGGGTTACTAGCATACAGAATAAAATAAGCGAAAACTCTTTATTACCACATGATCATTTCCTCTTTACAAAGACACCATAGGCATCTTGTTGAACTGGAATTTGACTAAGTAATGTTTGTCAAAGAAAAAAAACCTCCCACTCTCACAGCCAGACACATTTCAGTTAACCAAAAGAGCACAGGACAACTAATGTCAATTCCTTTGGATATTAACAGATTAAAAAGAATACAAATAAGAACATGTACTGTATGTGGTGCCTGTTTTTCCACTTAGAGAAAACATGTAATTATGTTGCATATAAATGCACAGAAACTATATATATCTGTATGCAGTTGAAATAAAGCAGATCAATATTAAACATTTAATGTTAAATTCTAAAAAAGTAACGGGCCATCTTGTGTCTCAAAAACTTTGGCATTAACTGTGTTAAAATAATATTGGCAAAAGAACCGATTCTCTATTTTCTGCAAAAATATAAATATAAATTGATTCCACGATATAAAAAAAAGAAGATAGGAATGCAATTTTTATTAAAAAACAAGATTATTGGTTTATCCACAGTGGGCAAGCGGAAAAAGATGGTGATCCATCATGGCAGCTTCTAGTGAGGACCCCATCCTGATGTAAACAAAAATATGAGTTTGATCCTGGGAAATGGAAAAAAAATACATATACTTTTCAGACGCTGTGAAATATCATTAAAAATGTTAAATTATTCAAACTTTCACGTAGAATCAATCATAGGGAATGCTCCTTTGACACCTTTGCTGCAGTGGGTGTCTATGACAGCACACATGCCGCAGTGAACAAACAAGGGTAGGGATGTTCTGAAAAATTGTTCACCATTCTCCAAATGGATACTACATCTTGACAGAAGAAAACCAGACGTAATGTTTCATGACAATGAGGACAAGGCCCTACAGTGTCTGTCTCCCCTTACACGAGTTTAAAGTTACCCCGCTCTTTACAGACAATAGACGACCTATCGTTAGCCATAGCACATAAACACGTGAAAAATTCTTATTTATAACCGATTCAATAACGAAACGTTCCGACTAACAGGAAACAGGTCCTACCTTCTTAACAGACAAGGAGATGTTTTCCAGTATGCGATCCTTGACTTTGAGCTGGTCCATCACTGCTGCTGCTGTTGTTTCTGTTGGCAGCTTACAGCAGGTTGTCAGCTGACTGTCTCAAAGCTGTGCCCAGCTATGTTCTTTTGCTAAAGCTAACACAGGCTAGCTGACATGATATTGTCCCACTGCTTTAACAACCCTAACACCGTACGTCTCACTGTCACTTATTGACAGTGCCGCTATATTAAAGCAAGCATATAAACAGACACATTACGATGTGTTAACTCCTTTCTACTAATTCCGTTTTAGCTTCGCTTACGTTTTAGCCGCAGCCGTCTGACTTTTTTTTTTCTAGTTAGCCGCCGGGGCTGGACTGGAACTTCGGAAGTCAAAAACGATTTATTTACCTTCTTAAATACATTACGTTATCAACGGTTTGTTTCAAATCCATATTTTAAAGTGTTTAAAATGTAAGTAGTTTAAAGCATTTTTTAAAAAAGCTAATTACGTCTAACTTTTTGTGCTGTTAACCTAAAGTCAGCAGGCGACGTCATCGGAGGCCCCAGTGCGCCTGCGCAAAACTACAATCCGTACTTCGTCATAAAATAAAAGTGTTGATTGTTTGGTTAAAATAAAACCATAAAACTACAATCCGTACTTCGTCATAAAATAAAAGTGTTGATTGTTTGGTTAAAATAAAACCATAAACTGTGTAATTAAAACATTATCGATAAAACGAATTACTAACTAACTTCTAATTTAGTACGTGTGGCTTTGGCAGCCTATTGGTATTTATCCATTAAATTTTAATTAAGTTTGTCCTGCTTTACGTTCCGTTTGTTTTAATAGAAACTGTTTCTTAATGTTGGTCTTTTTTTAAAATAACATAACTGTTGGGAAGAAAAATCTGTCACTACATCTCACTGATGGTTCTTTGATCTTAATTGCAGGTTTCAGATCTTTTTAGTTGAAGAAGCAGTACGTTTCGTTTACGCACATAGCTTTAAAACGATACATTTTGTCACATTTCGTATCATAAGGATGAATAATAATAGCATAATAATACTATTAGTACTATACTATTAATAATAATAATAATATTAGTTATATAAAGCATGCAATTATTGTCACTATAATGCTATTCAATTTCATTGTACCCCAGTGTTACAATGACAATAAAGACTATTTTATTTACAATAACGTGTGCGTAATTATTCTATTAGTCTATTTTGTTAGTGCACTGACACACATAAAAAGTCTTTCTTTACTGAGTGGAATGTCAGTACTTTATTATGAAGACTCCAGATTTTATTGGAAACCATCCATATCAGAAACAAAATGGCATTTTCAGTGCATGAGGTCACTACAATTAATTACTGTGATTTTTGAAGCTAGTGTCAATCTTTTCTGGATTCACTTATGGCCCAAGACAAGTGCTTGACTTCGATACTTTTGTCAACGTAAAGCAACTTTATAAAAACACTAACATCAGAACATGGACAGGTCTTTAAATTATTTCATAGCAGAAATTAAAAAAAAACTCAGGATCACCCTTTGCCTTCAGACCCCAAACAAATAAAAAGACACTGTATTGTTACCCAAGACTGCAGTCAAAGACTCAATTTAAGTTCTTCACAAGTTCAAATTTATAATCTCATTTTTCACATCCCTGTTGTTCCTCTAATTTAGTCTGACTTCTCCTTCTCTTTCATGTGCAAGAAAACTATGCTGAAGATGAAAAGACCTGTCATCATAGAGAAGACGCTGGCATAATACGGGAAAGCTGAGGGGATAAAGCGCTCGTACTGAGTGTGCTGTAGGGGGCGCACTGACACCTGTGGCGAAGAAACATTTGTACAAATTAATCCAGTGTTGATTTTATTATTGTCACATAATTTGTCTTTTTGTGCATGCACAAGCTACATGCGAGTAAACACAGTCTATTTTAACTTACTTGGGTAGAGGAGTAAAGGTGTGTGTATCCCAGTCTGTTGTAGTCCACCTTAAACTGAAAGACTCCGTACACATCAGGCAACTTGAACTGAACACTGTATTTTCCTCCTGATAGAAATCAAACACATGATTTACTTAAAGCAGTTCAGAATAAAATCTTTGTAATGCAATCAACACATTTACAGAGTATGTGTAAAAAAACATACCGTTTTTCTTGAGGTAAGTTCTTACGAAGGGATCAATCCTCACAAACTCCAGTTGAATGTCATCTCCATCAAAGGGAACCCAGCGGCCCTCGGACAGCATCTCAATGACAATGCTGTATTCCTGTGTATGCAGAACATGTAAAACAGTAATTAAGAAAAATTGCTGACAAATCTACACCTTAGCCTTTAAAAAAAATCAAATGGGTACAGTAAGAACTGTTGGCTGCAATATTCATATCAACTCACCACAAGATCAGTGATGGTGTATGCTGCTGGGGGAGTGGTTTCTCCCACAGGATGGTGGGTAACAGCTCCCACCCTAAGAACTCCAGCCTCCTTGAACACCCAGCGAGACAGAGCCTCTGCCAACTCCATGTTCCCTGTTTTCTCATGTCTAAAAGGACAATGGCAGAGTAAAGGTCTTCATTCATAATCTGGACAGTATTTTAATGGTACTAAAAAAAGTCAATCCAAATAAATCCTAATCATAACACTAAGAAAGAATGTCCAGATTGGTCTCAAATCACATTTTAATCTGTCAACATATTTAAGCAGCACTATTATGTTAATCAGAAAATACTTAAAGAACCTTAACAGAACAAAACCTTTTTTTTTCTTTTTAAATCAGACATGTTGTGTTGAACAGCAATGCCTACCTCTTAGATCCCGGTGTGGCCTTTTGCACAGCTGAGTTAAAAAAGGCATCACTGAAAAACTCCAGAGACCCGCAGAAAACCACTCTGGCATTGTTTCTGGCCTGAAGCCCAGCAATGAGCAATGTGTTTTTGCCGACAGCATGGGGATACTTGAGGAAGAAAAATACATTGATAAAAATAACCTAAACAATGTGAAAATGTGGTGATTACAAAATAAGGATATATATGCAGGTTATGTTACCTGAGAAATTGGTCTGTCTGGGAAGAAGGAGTAAGATGTGGAAGAGCCAGTGAGGATGTCCAAGACTAGAGGGTTTTCAGGGTCAGCTACCATTCTGGTAAAAAATAGTGCAACATTAATTGCTTTTCAGTGAATATTTCAGCCCCTTTCAAAATGAAGTATTTTACATTATACACTTATATATAGTATTTCTATATATAGTATTTCTAAATTAACTACATTGATTAAATTCGGCTTACCCAACGCCCTTAAATAAAACCGGTTTGTTGGTGGGTTTTCCGACAATAGTGGGAGCTTTGAGCAGGTTCTCAGGGTCAGCAACAATTAGAGTGTGCTAAAAAAAGTAGGTTATGAATAAAATGTTTTATAAAATGAGTAGGACTGAAGATTGCATTTTTGAAGCAAATTAAACAGCTTAATTTTGTTACCTCTCCAGGATCTGAGACATCGTAGTTGTGATGGTCAATAACGGCAGTTTTCTCCTCATCAAACTCAATGCCACACTCGCTGCCCAGTTCTCTCAGAGGATCACCTGTTAAATCAAGAAATAAATGATGAGCATCTTTGTGAACCCCTGCTTGGATTTGTTCAATGATCAATAAAGTAAGGCTGTAGAAACTAACTCACTGATATCTGAACTTGCAGCAACCAGGACATTTCCTCCACCATCAATGAAAGATGTAATGGTCTCCACATTAATATTCCCTCCAAAGTCTGTGGGGAAAAAAAAAAAAATATATATATATATATATATATATAAAAACAAACAAACATAATTTACAACTTTCTAGAAAGAAACTCTTAAGCAATTCAACAGATCAATTGGTTCTACCATGAGCATTAAATTTACCTTCAACAGATGGTGAAAAGATGACTAAGTGGTCATACAGGAACTGGCCATATTTTATTAGGGATAGAGAAGGATCGTCAGCGGTCTTGAAAGTGAGATCAAATCCACGATCTGAAAAATGAAGTACATTATCAGTGGCACAAGATCACAGGAACACCTTTTTAATAAATAAGTAAGGGACATCTACACTATAAACTATACAAATCCAAATTTTACACAACCCTATGCACAAAAATGTAGCTGTGTATTATTCCATTAACACCACATTAAAGTCTTCTCAATCGTGTTTATCATGTATCATTCTCAGGAAGTTTCAACCACGTTACGTTGGGGACATTGTTAACTTACTCAAAAAAAGTTTCGCTTTAAGAATAGGACTATACCTTACACGTGTGTCTGTCGTGCTTTAACACATGATTCTAAATTATGTCTTATTATAGTTATATTGTCCATTAAAATGCACAAAAACACATTAAAAAAACGTATGTCCAAAAAAACTGGGAATTAATTGCCGTTAAGTACTTTTCTCCACAATAAATGTATAGATGTTTTTAAGGAGATTAGATAATTTAAAACACAATAGTCACTAATTTAATTATGAATTACTTGCCGAGCGCAAATTAATGTGATTCGCAAAGAAAGTTTGACCAGACGTTGCAAACACGGTAGCTAAGCTAGCTCAAGCTAAGCTAGCTCAAGCTTTGATTTGCAGCATGTAAACCACTATGTAAATATATACAGACCCACAGTCGGTATATATTCCTCCAAGAGACACAAATGAAAAACACGAATAAACCTCAGCATTATAGAGAGGAAATGTGTGATATGAAAATATTACGAATCGTGAATCTACCTGCCAGACTACGGAAGAACATTGAATGGGTGTCTCTAATGTTGAGGTTGTCCAGTAGAACCAACGTTTTCCCGTCAGCAAGAGCACAGTGCAGCATTGCTGCAAACGACAGCATTAAAAGCACACCATTGTCCAGAAGTCTAACCCTCCTTTGAGTCAACATCTTGCTTTGTTTTTTAGGTGATGTTACAGAAACGGGCCGGTGTTTCTGCATATCTGCCGTCAGCGACGCCATTGTGGTGCAGAAGTGGACGTCAGCGCTAGCAGTGGGCTAAACTTTGACCCTACGATTTAGCCAATCACAAAGAAGTACGCGTCATCGTTGAGTGCCACTCTGCCAATCACAGCACTTCCGTCTTTCTGTCCGTATTTCTCTCAGTCGTGCTTTTACAAGTTTTTACATTTTATTTAATATGTTTCTTTTGTTTGCCGTTGCTGGTGTAGTATTATTTTAACTGGCGCTGGAAAAACGATTAAATACAGACTCGTTTTGTCAGTTACCATTTTAATAACCATGAGATATAATATAACCAAGACGGTATTAAAAATACACCATAGCATCTTATCTACAAAAAACACATACACAGCGTTTTACCCTTTCCAGAGGATACATTTATTTTGGACAAGCTGTCACATTCATAGGGTCTGGGTCTGTGTTTTTAACATGATTTACTTAAACGAAAAACAATTAAATGTACATATATTATAAATGTGATATAAGTGAAAAATAACAAAGCTATACTTAGTATAACTATTTCAATATTTACCATATCATTAACTCACCTAATGTAAGTTCTCCTACATGGTACTGTGTCTTCATTTTATTCTGTATAGTCATATTTCTTTAAAAGCTAAACTTTATACATATTTTACATATATAATTTTACTTAGAAAAAGACAACATTTGACTTTCACCATCCTTCCTGTTCCTTCATCTCCCCCTCTGTGTCCTGGACGTAACAGATCAGTTTTCCCCTTCTTGAATGACCTGTTCAGTTGTGGTTTGCCATGTTGTGGCAGTTTCTCCTTCTGCAGTCGTGGCTGTGGTGTACTGGTAAAAGTCTGAATCTGCCTGAAACATGACTAAGGCCTGAGCAGTGTGGATGCGTACATGCTGAGCAAGAGAGCTTGCATCCAAAAATTTATCTCCACACGAATCACAAGCATATAAGATCTGAGTGTTGGGATCTGGAAACCGCAAAAGAGAAAATACAGTCAAACATTTTGCTCATTACATTTAAATTAGATAGAATCAGCATCAGGAAAACCATGATATTGAAAGTTAGCTTCACAACCACTACTATGACAGAAGAAAATAAATTTAATGTGCAGTATATAGGTGTTGATAAACACATTGACAGAAGTGATTAAGATTATATTAAGACATGTACAATCTAGTAACTAATCGGAATTTGATATCAGTAGGTACTCATATGTAAAAGTACAAGATAAGGAGCCTAAGGCTTATCAAGACATATTTAGGTTTTAGGGTCTTTAAAATTGTACCTGCTTCCTGTACTTTCTCCACTGCTTTTGTGATTTCAGCTTTCAAAGCCTCAGTCTCATCTGCAGACACTGAAGAAGCCACTGGAACCACTGGAAACATATTGTAACATAACATAACATTGTAATATGTTAATTGACATATTCCCCACTAACAGCAGACAGCTGTTTAACTCAGCACACTCTAGTCTGTTATCTGACCTGTCAGCTGAGCTACTGCGCTGTTCGCGAGAGCCATAATGTCGTCTGTGGAAACGGTGACAATATTGATTTCGCTGTCAGATGTGGCTGTCGCCGTTCCCCCATCAGCCCCATCTTCTGTACCGCCTCCAGCAATTACCAGCCGCTTCATGCCAGCCTTGCCATGGTGGACGGTCTTGACGTGAGATCGAAGATTGTCTACGCGGTTAAACCCTCTGCCGCATTTATCACACAAGAAAGGCTTCTCTCCTAAAAAAAGGGGGGTTAATTCAACTGAGCTGAGCTGAATCAGAGAAATTAATTGACTTTTTCAGGACAGAGTTTTTTTTTCTCTCTTTCCATTTATACTGAAACATTAATTACAGCTGACACAGTTCTATCCCCACCTGTGTGTATTATGATGTGTTTGGAGAGGTCCCCCACGTTAACAAATGCCTTATTGCACATCTGACATTTGTGTGGACGAACATTGTCGTGATGGCGAATGTGATTAGCCAGTTGACTGGACTGCACAAACCTGTCAAGACAAAAATGAATAAATAAATAAATAACAGAGACAGCTCTCAACCAACTCTTCATGATATTTAAAGCAATAATAAAGTTTCAGGTGAAAAAAAAAAACATTTTAATACTTAATATCTTTTTGTATGTTTAGATTTTTGTTGAGAATGCACAGTCAATGAAGTGACTCATGTTACAAAAACACTATTGAATCTACAAAAAAATATATATATTATATATATTTTCTTAATTTAGCTTCATTTTGTCTGTCCTCATGTGCAACACTGACCTTTTACCACAGCGATCGCACACATAAGGCTTCTCTCCTGTGTGCTGACGGACGTGAGCAATAAGAGAACTAGCCTGAGTGAACGCTTTGCCACAGATACCACAGATACAAGGCTTTTCTCCTGGAACATGTTGACATGGTCTCATTAGGGACAGACGTGAGGATTGCAGTGAAAAAATAGTAACAAGTAATATCCTTTCTGACTCCTGTCTGACCATTGGGGGAGTTACCTGTGTGGATGCGCTCATGTCTCTGCAGAGCTCCAGGATCACTGAAAGCTCTCTGACAGTGAACACAGACGTATGGTTTCTCTCCACTGTGGACCCGCATGTGTCTTTTCAGATTTCCTGAAAAAAACACATTGTCACAAAACCTTCAGACCAAAACAATCTGTATAAAAGCAGAAGTATATATGATGATTTAGGGGCTGCATCTCACAATTTCCTCTATTACTAAATTAAACTTGGAAAAGTCAGACGGTTTTGTGAATTGAGAATTATGTTTTACATCAAGACAGTAACTGTGGACAAAGGAACCTCTTGTATTTACTTAACCACACCATAAATCTCACATGTCTGGTGTCAACTCACACACTGCCGACCTTATTTGAACAACAAACTGTAGCTCTGTTTAACAACTGTAGACATCACTGGTGGTCATGTGAAAACAGGGCACTGATCTAATGTCTATATACATTATAATGAATGAAAAGACCAGATAAAACAGAAAACAGAAAAAAAAAAAAAAAAAAAGAAAACCACTTTTGCCTTGTCCCTCTACCTGAGGTGGTAAACTGTTTGCCGCATTCTTTGCACTTGAGAGGCCCATCTGTAATATGGATCTTCATGTGAGCCCTCAGGTTTCCAAGCTACAAAACAAAAGCAGTCATCAGATGTATATCCTCTGCGCTTATTTTAAAATACCCTCTGTTAAACTGCAGGTATAATTCCTCATACAATATTCTACAGCATGTTTTAGATTTTAGCTTTGTCAGTTTCAAGTCTGACCCCTATGATATTTTGATATGAAAAGTTCAGTTGCAGCTACTTTACTACAACACAATGTTGACTAAATATAATTTTTATTATAATAATTACTTTGTTATCATGGTCAGTGCTGCTTTGAACAACATAAAAATGCATATTACTGTTTTCCCTGACACACTGTTGGAAAGTTACAATGTTAATTAATCTGCAAAATAATTCTAGTTTCAGTCTGTGTAGATGATAGTTGTTATGTTTTTTTTCTGCGCTGAATTAGTGCAAGGGCATAATAATATATATAATATATATAATAATCCACTCATGGTTGCCCTTCTATGGTAGAGTAAAATAAAACCCAACAGACTACAAGTTGTCTTTTTAAGCCCTTGAAAGCACTCAAAATATAATTTCAAGTGCAACTCATCAACAACTGTCTTCATAATAAGATTTATATTTTCTCTACCGCTCTCTAGCATAGTTCCTCCTTCAAACCTCTTTGTTTCCTTAAATTGTGCCATTACCTGGTTGAAGCGTTTCTCACAATGTGGACATTTGTTTCCCTTCTCCATGTCATGTATCTCCAAATGTCTCATCTTGGCAGTGGGGTCAGAAAAGGCCTTATCACAGAAGTCACAGTGATATGGTTTCTCCCCGCTGTGCACCAGCTGATGTCTCTTCAGGTTACCAGACGTGGTGAAGAGCTTGCCACAGGCATAGCAGGTATAGCGTGCTTCTCCCGTGTGGCGTTTGCGGTGTAGGTTCAGCCCTGATCTGACGGTAGCTCTTCCCACAGGTGGAGCAGCTGTATGGCTTCAAGGGGCTGCAGCATTAAAACAACTTGATTTTAAAAACAAAATCTCCACAGAGACCAGTCGAAAGGAATGCATGAAGACTCACTGCTAGAGCACTTCACCTGTGTGTTTTCTCATGAGCTTTGCAGGCTGCTGGGTCAGAGAAAGCTTTGCTGCAGTCTCGACAGCTGAACGGTTTCTCTCCCGTGTGGATTCGCATGTGCCTCTTAAAGTTGCCAGTATGAGTAAATTTCTTCCCACAGTCCTGGAAGAAAAAAAAACAGCAACTATCAACTATCATCTACACAGAAGGACCAAAATTGAGGGAATTGGTGTTTTAATTAACCCTGTAAAGAAAAGGAGTATAATTATTACATTATTAGTCTTAAAAACCCTGGGTGTACCTAATAAGATGATCAGTACATATACATTATCCCCTTTCATATATTCTTACCTCACACTTATGTGTCACAGAGCTGTAAGGCTTTGACTCCGACCGGCTGCTCATTGATGCTGAGTGAGATTGTTTCTCGACCTGTGACTCAACTTCTTCCATCTGCTCACTGGCCCCGCTGTCTTCCTCTCCATCACCATCGTCATCGTCATCATCTTCTCCACCCCCATTACTATTCTCCTCAAATGTGTCGTCCTGTTCATTGTCCACATCTGCCGACTTCGTCACCATCAAATTTGGTTTTGGCTTTGATTTGCCTTCATTTTCTGAATCACTATCTGTGAGGATGGAAATTAAGAAGAAATTAGAGATGACAAAATGTATGATATTCTGACAAGAAAATTTACACATTTCAATGCATCCAATAAACTTCAGCTGGAATAGAGTGTACTTTAATACCAGGACACATAAAGGTACTGTACATTTGACAACAATGATGTCAAAACTTTGTTGACTTAGTTGTTCAGTTTAATTAAACCGTGTCACCCAGTGCAGTTCACTCACCTGGTGGGAAGTTTCGTTTTAGAGGTTTCCTGATTCTTCGGCCTCGAGAGCTCATGTACGATGAACTGGCAGTGGATTTTCCCTGTGCTTCTAAAAATAAAGGAAATTGCTTTATGCACTTTAATATAAGACAAAGACTTGGGTAAACACCCCAACAACATGTCAACTAAACTTTAAACCTGACCTTGTGTGTCAGAGGGATTATCTTGAATTTCAGTTTTGTCCTGTGAATCACTTTCATTCTTGTCCTCAGCAGGAGGGGCAGTGGTTTGGGGCAGCTGTTCCAGGACTGAGTTAGTCCCAACAGGACTGGTCTCAGAAATAATTGGTTGAGTGTCAGTATCTGCATCCTCCACTGGATCATCCTGAGTTTGTGTTGTCTCTTTAGCTTCTGTCGTAGTAACCGAACGAGTTTCCTCTTCCTGTGATGACTCTTCTTTCATTTCACTGCTCTGCTCCTCGTTCTGCTCGCTTTCACCTGTCTTTTCATCTGTTTTTTTAGAACAATATTAAAATGAAATAGTAATTAAATGTGATTGTATGCAAAATTCATTAAACTAAACATTTTTATATATCTTCTGTGAGATAATAATAATAATATGAACTTTATTGATTTTATGTTTTGGAAATTCTTGTGTTAACAGCAGATGTGCTGCAACAGGGGCCAAGCATGTGGTTCCTCTGGGAATCAAACCCAGGACTCTCTGCTCTCTGCTCTCGAGGTTTCAAAGATTAATATAACACCTAGGTAGGTAGGTAAGTAAATCTCTATAAATGATATATACATATATATATATCATATAAAGATATATACATACATATCATTTATAATATACAAATAATATTTATAATGGGTTTAATAAAATGGCATTTAAAGCATAAAACAATATTTACTCAAGTTAATACATACTAATTATTGACATGATTTAGTATTGTAACATTAAAGACGCATATTATCATAGTGAAGAAAGGCATTCTTGTATTTTATGTGGAGGTCCAGTATGAAAACACTGATGTCGTTATTACAGTTATTGACATATGAACAACTCGTAAAGAATGAACTGACCCACAGTAAAATCCAGGGTTATGACAGAAGGCGCTTGATTGGCCATCGACTGGTATGCAGAGCAAGCATTCACAATTTCTTGAATTTGTAGAAAATTGGCAACGGCCAAGACGTCCTCGACATTCTGTGGACTTAAGTTAAGTTTTGCTGTGTACATGAACTCTAGGACTTGACCCAAACCTATACCAATAATAAGAAAATACAGTAAGTATATTGCATTTGGAATATATAATACTAATACAAAACGTACAAACTTGTTTGTCTATAGAATATACCTGCTGCATTGCTGATGTCTAGGTGTACTACATCTTTCTGGTCCAAGAAGAGGGTACGAAAGTAGACACTGCAGGCGGCCAACACTGCTTTGTGAGCCTTGAAGTCCACCCCATCCACAACAAAGGTGCAGTCACACAGCAGACCCTGCTTTCGCTGACGATTAAGCTGGTCTAAGACTTTTCCACTGTGCCAGGGGAACTCCATCTTCCTACAGAAGCGATATGGTGAAAGAATTCAGTAGCTGGACACAGAAACTGTGGAATATTCACAAGCAAATGTCCTCATGTTGTGCATTAGTTTAAATGTCTGATCTGCCTGCTGATATAAGATACTATTTTGGCATGATAAAATCAGAGATGGTAAAGTAATCATGCTTAACACAGCAAGATGGTAAAATTATTTTAAATACAACTATACTATACACACGATAATTGTCAGAGGTTCTGGTTAATCCAAGGGTCCATTGTAACACAAGTATAACAATGTAAAAAAAAAAACACTTTTTAATTATATTTAATTACATGCATCAGATGTGCACAATTCTCTGTGGTTTTTTTTGTCCTAACAGAAAAGTAAAAGTATGAACTGTGTTGTATATGGTGTATGTTTATATTGATATTATGGATAGGATATTATGATGTCAAAGTTATTGGCATTGACACTAGACTCCTATGGGGAAAATTACGGGCAAAAAGTGTCACTCGAAGTTTTTACATTTTTAAATGTCAAAATGTAATATTAATTGTCGTTAAATATCAAATTCGCTCCATTCGCATCCACTGCTAGCAAACCAAACCCTGTCTGACGACAATGAAATAACAGCGAAATAGCGTTATAATATCCAATTATTGGCAGTAGAGAGGACGTACAGAGAGAATTATATACAGTAGTTCAAAACAATTGACGAGATGGTTTAACGGTGCTATACATCGATTACAATTCCTCAATCCTGGCAACTTGGCTATCAGGGATTAATTTAGCATGCCTTGACGTGAATGTACTACAGGGGCCAAGATGGCGGGCCGTGGAGTCAGTCCTGTCTTCCTCCGCCGTTATTTTTACAGCAACCTCCTTTAAAAAGCCCTACGAAAACGCCATTTTGTGATAAGCAGAGGCAGGAATTACCTCTTCTTTGTTCCTTCGTGGTGCTTTGTTCGTTAAAACCTCAGCTAAGGCGACGTCTCGTGTTGTTTAATTCGAGCCAGAAAAACAAACTCGATCGAGTTTTTCGGTGATCGATCTTGTCGCGCTCAGTCAAACCTTCGCCATCTTCCTCTCTCTGATCGATTGATAGGGACCGTCCGGATGTATGAATTTGAGCATGCGTAGTATAAACACGTCTTGTGCCTTAGCAAACCACTTGATGGCGCAAGCGGCCCATGACGATTGACGCGTTTATAGGTACCAATAGCCTGTGCACTGTGTCAAAAGCACGAACAATTAAAAAATAAGCAAATATACCGAAAAGCAAAACAAGTTTAATGTACAGCTATATGTTTCTTTGTATACGTTTGTGAGGTATTTCGTGATTTATTTTGGTAGTAATTTATAGTCATAAATTTGATCATGCTGTCATGACTGTGTGCTCATTTAAAATACAGGGAGTGCAGAATTATTAGGCAAATGAGTATTTTGACCATATCATCCTCTTTATGCACGTTGTCTTACTCCAAGCTGTATAGGCTCGAAAGCCCACTACCAATTAAGCAAATCAGGTGATGTGCATCTCTGTAATGAGAAGGGGTGTGCACTTTATCAACACTTTATCAGTTATCAGGAAAGGAAGGACAGAAAAAACATCTCCTGTATTGATCGCAAAGAGCAATTCTTTGTGTAAAGCAGGATGATGAACATGGTTTAAAGACTCTGATGAGAAGAAAACTACAGTGGAACATAGATGAAAGAGAAAAACTATATATTCTGTATGTATACTGTATATAATTCACAATTTAAAAAAAACTTAATGTACAGGGTATGTTTGTTGAAATTAGTGACAGAAAAATGTGCAGATACAGTGGACTAACCATTTTTCTGTATGTTCATAGATAAACCTGGACAGGAAACACACAGCCCACACATTTTAAGATTTGTTTACTGTCAAATTTGAGTTTATTCAGACTAATAAAAACAAAGTACAACAAATGAATGAGAAACCGTACATGTATGTGTTCTCTTGTGCAAATACTACACATGAGCCAACATTGCTCTCTGTCTTCTCAGCAGGTACAGTATGACCTTATCCTGCTGTGAATGAACAAACCTAGACCATAATACAAACATACTGAAAAAGACTCAACACAAGAAGTGAAAAGCAGCCATTTAGTTGCGATTTTTGTTTACATGTAATTCCTTTTGCAGCCAGCCTAATTATAATCCATGTGATCAGGTTCAGTTCTTGCAACTGCAGGCTCAATCCATTTCTTATGTACAGTCTATGATGGATCTTCCCATATACAGGAAGGGTTAGATTTCTTTTAAGGTGGTTGTTAAAATAGAGAGATGTCAATAAAGCAGGAAATAAAGAAAGTCGATTGAAACACACACACAAACACCAACAAGTTAGAGGTTTGCTGTCATACACTGGTCATTCTTTAGATTTTGATCTCGGTGCGAAAGGTCTGTACAAGCTCATGTTTGGCCGGATTTCTCCTTGCCCGAACCGTTAGTGTTCCTTCTGCGCCCAGTGATGATGTCACTGAGGTGGGGTCCACATCTTCAGGAAGCTGACACTTGTGGGTGAATGTGTTCATGACTGAACCGTCCTGAGCCAACTGTTGAGAAAGAAGAAGGACGTTGAAATGTGATTGATTCAGGTTAATGTATATATTTATATATATATATATACTGGAGCTGTGAAATGTTTCTGACAATATCTATTATCTGATTAATCACAGGGTAGCTGTGGTATATGTGACTGATCGTGATTAATTGAGTTTGCCACATTTATTATGTTAAGCACCTGAATTAAACACCTTTTTATAAATTAAAATTAAAGCCCACCCACCTTCTCTGCACGAACTTCTATCTGATTATTGGATGTGGTGACGATGACATCTTCAGGGGAGAAGTCTCGCACATCGACCGTGAACTGGTACGTGTCCCCGAGAGTTTTAATATTTCCAGCATCGCCTACGGGCCACACAGAAACACAATCAGGAGGAATCACATCTTTACTTCTGTTCAAAAATGAATCGTCACCCAATTTTCTTTTACAATACTCTCATTTCCTCTTCTGCTAATTACATGCTGATGATAATTATCATAGCTGCAGGTGGTGTTTCATTATAGAGCCAAGACACAATAACAGGCTTCTGATTCAAGAGACAACATGCTACGGAATTATAACAACGTTAATTTCCTTATACATGAATACATTATACATTTACTTTATGAAAATCAAGAGGTTGTTATGTCACATTTAGTTTTTAGTTTCTAAATAAGATATTTTTTTCAACACATGAATTTAATCTGGGCCATGTGAAAATGAGTCTTTAAATACATATAAACCTATTTAGAAAGTGATTCCAGCTGTGCACACAGAAAGTAGTAAAACGGAGGAGGTCAGAATATTATCATTCTGGCAGATTTCCATTAAGAAGCAGGTTAATTGTTTACACTTTAAGCCGGGACAGGGAATAAGGGAATAAGAGTTCACCCCAAAGGCCATGTAGATGTGGACATTTCTCTGGTTTATATTTCACTTGTACAAACCTTTGCAAAAATATGTATATTTTATGGAATAACATTTACTATCAAAACTAGAATTAAAGTTACCGTACTGTACCATACAGCATTGGATTTTGTCATTTATATGTCATCACGACCTTCAAAACAAATTTAACGGTGGGTAAAACAAACATCTCAGGCCATGCCTTTGACTGAGTAAACTCCTCCATTTGTCCCTCTAAACTTAAACTGAGGTTTGGAGCTGCACCACAGGCCTTTGGCAACAGGGAGCAGATAAATGGAGATGATTATGCAGCATGATGAACCATCTACATTCAAATTCTGTGCTCAGTGAACAACGACGTGGTGCCAGACGCCAGACTGAGGACGTGAAGTCAAAGCTGTGAGCAGCTCCAGCTGTGATTTTACATATGATGATTAGTTTCATGATGTGGTCATTCCAAATGATTGTGTCTGTTCGTGTGTGCGTGTGTGTGTGTGTGTGTGTGTGTGTTAAGATCTCTGGGCAACCATCTGGTCAATTCCTCATGCAGGCGTCATCCTAAATACTCACTGTGTGAAGTCACACTGCTGGCAGCCAGTGTAGCATTCTCCTGTGTGTGTGTGCACGTGTGTGTGTGTGTGTGCTGTGCTGTGCTTTCAGTCTCCAAACACTGAGATGCCAACCGTGGCTCCAAAACAATTCCGTCCTGCCCCTGATGCATGCAGCACATGGAGTCAGAGTCCTTTTAAGGTTCAGACGTCCCCAACACACGCACACAGACAAACACACACACGTCAGCAACATTGAGCAGTGGAACGGTGGACACCAGCTCACATACGTACAGTAAATGACCCGCAGCATAAATCCGGTGTGCTGACCATAATGACTATTCTCAACATGTTATAGACTAAATACCTGACCCTTCCATACAGACCTCACCACTTCAGACTAAACTTCAGTGTCTGACATGAACTCAGAGGTCTGTCATTTGATACCTAAATAAACCAATCTCCTAATTCTCTATCACATCTAAATAACTTTAAAATATAAATAGTATACTTTATATATATTTTATAAATATAAAAAAGAAGTGCAGATTTGAAGTTGATAATAATCAAAGAAATAGCTCAAATCTTTGTTCACTGCTAAGTCAAAGCTTGACCGTAGTTTTACGGTCAAGCTTTGACTGTCACCATCGTATCCCAGTCTCCCCAGTTTCCATGAATTTGTTATAAACAATACCACTGACAGTTAGGAGTTTCCATGTACTTCACAGATTAATTTATTATTAATTAATCCGTTTTCTTTCTTGAAAAGTACATTGACATTTTTATCAGATATTCTTCAGACATTCACAAATTAATTATACATCTTTTTCTTTTAGTTTGCGTTTTACTAAAGTCTAAAGTCTTGCTTTTGGAAAATTACTAACCCTTAATTGTTGGAGAAGTTTTAACAAACCTTTATCTATTCCAGGTTTAACTCTTAGATAAAGTTGAACCAAATCTCTGTGCAGTTTTATAACCAAAAAAGAGAACCTTATGTTACCCAGGGGAATCCATTCAAACTTGGAGACACAAATGCCCTTTAGGTCCAAGGCCAAATTCAGATGGTCAGAGGACACTTTGCCCTTTTAACGTCTGACCCTGACGCACACACACACACAGCAGAATACTTTCCTCCTGTATACTTAGTCCTGGCTGTTTGTTTCCCTCCTCTGAACTATACCACCTCAGGACATGCTTTATATCCACTTTATGTGGAAAAAAAACACCACATTGTACACAAATCACTTCCAAGCAGAGCAGTAAATCTACGTTACAGTCAAAACTGTTATTTTAGACCTCTTTTGTATACACAGGGAACTAAAGAGAACCTACAATTGCTTCTTACTTACTGGAAAACCCCAGGGCGTCGCTCCCGGGCCTCATGAAGGAGCCAAAGTCCTCAGTGAACAGTCCCCGGCTTTTCTCCATGTACGGGTTACCAGAGGACGAGGAGGAGGATGATGATGAGGAGGAGGAAGTCTGGTGGAAACTACGCTCCGATCGATAAGCAGAAGAGTTGGTCACACTCATGGATGGATGTGAGTGTAGGGTAAAGCAGAGGAGGAGAGTAGAAGGAGAGAGGAGGGAGGTACAGAGAGGTGGTGTGCTGGGTAGATGCTACTCTTTTTTTAAACTGTCTGTTTTTCCCCCTGTGTTTAGGTACTTGTGTTCTTTAACACTATAGGTCCCCAGCCTTTATATATACCGTTCGCTCCCATGTGTAGTTGGGAGGTGTGTCACAGCTCATGCGGAAAGAGTACAGCGTTCTATATTTATCCTGAAACGTACAGAGAGAGAGGGAGAGAGGGGTCGGTGGTTGGAAAACTTGTGGTCATTGAAGGGCCCAGAGGTGAGAGAGTGGGATTTGATAGAGAGAGCTGGAGAGAGACAGTGCAGGAGGGGTGGATGACGGGGTGGAGGGAAGGCAACAGTTGTCATTCCAGACACATCATCCCTGAAATATCTTCCCTCCCCTCTCTATAATTCTCCCACTCCCACTAATTCTCCCTTTGCGCCATCTGTCTGTTTGTTTTGCAGTTTTTTGTTTTTTTTTTTAATATTCCGTGCCACGTCTTTGTGCTGACATCAGAACATCACAGGGTTCTGCCACGGTTCTTAAATGACATAATGTCCCGTGTTTCCACCAGATGGCTTTTGTCTCATTGCATTTTTATTTCTCTGCTGATTCATTAATTCACTTACTGTGAGCATGAGCAGCATTACGATGAAATGAGTTGGGCAGAATATGCTATATTCTCAAACTGAGCCATAGAGGGCGTTAAACAGTGACAAAAAAAATCATCCTTCTTATCTGAGAGTAAACACCAAATAAAGATGGTGGAAGGAATGTGCTTGAAAACAAAGCCTCAGCGAGAGAGGGGGTCTTAGTGGTGACATTGCTTTGTGGCTATAAATATCTGCATGGGAACTGAAGGCCGTCACCTCAGTGTGTTGTCCTGATACCTAATCCATTCAGCTACATGTATGGACCATGTCAGTGCTGAGTCATGAGGGGGCTGTCTGTAATCTACAGATGACTACACTCAAGTGGTGAATTCTGTGTGCCACAGTCTAAGTGGCCGACTCTGAACGTTTGAAGGCTGAAGCCACAGTTATAAAAGCCTCCAAAAACCTGTGTTCATCTGCTCTTATCAGTGTTGGGCTCAAAGTTCCTGATGAAGGTCTAAATTCAGCGCAGCAACTCACCAGCTCACTGCCTGGAAGTGAACACAGACTCCTCCCCTCCCTGGATACAGCAGTAAAAAAAACCAATATGGTTAAACTGCTCTGAGATTTTAAACAACTGATCAGAGACAATTTTTAACTTAGCTGTCAGAACGAGGGTCGATGCCAACATTTATCCCTGATAAAGGACTTAACCACGATTCATTTTTGTGACCATTCTTTCACATTATGTAAACCGACTTCTAACCTTTTTTAACTTAAAACCATGACTTGCAAAATCTGTTAGCATACAAACACCCAAAACTCCAGAAATCAACCAGTTGTCTATTGGAATGGCATATTAACATTGTGGTGCAGTTGTCTCAAAAGTCCACCCTATGACACTAATGACATTGAGTCACCTCTACACACACACACACACACAGACACACACACACACACACAGCAGTCTGTGTATTACATAATGCAGCAGACAGATGAATAAATTCCACAGCTGCTGCTTATCACTGTATGTCTGCCTTCAATGCAAATGTCCATCATCTGGTGCCTGGGAACAACAGGACCCTGAGACTTGGAGCACAGGACTGTTATTATAATGTATGGTCACATTTGCCCATGCAAAATGTTGTTTATTATTCATTATTATTCAGATCAGATGGAGCTAGAAACTTTTTACATACATAGGGTTCACTCAATTTAAAAGGTTCCCTTTTAAGTTTGTAGACAAAGTTTGCTCCGATTTAGAAATCCTGACAAAGAAATTATGATAAAAAAAAGCTGTAAGAAAGAAAAGAAGTGCTGTAACAAGTTTCAGTGATTAAGGTCACTCCACTCTTAACATGGAACATAGAATGCTACATCTTACTTTCTCTGTTCCAGGTCAGTGTTTTCTTTCTGTAATCCGTCCCTAACGAAGCGCTGCCTGCAGCCTTACTGATGATTTATAATCTTTTGATCCAAAAATGCTAATAGATTTCGTGACCTTGGCAATGTCAACATACAAAACTAAATTTCGTATCACCTTCCCTGGTGCATATGACAATAAAGAGATTCTGATTCTGATTCTGAATGTCACGGTATTTGACTATTTAATAAAGCTTTTTCTCAGAGACATCTCTGTGGTAGATTATCGTTTCAGTGACTGACACAATTGTTTCAGAAAGGAAAAGAAAATTAACCTCATCTGGCTTGTTTTGCGTCAGTGTGTGTGGTTGCCACGGAAACTACATTTGTACAGACTGAGAGGAGCAGTCTGCACGTGTGTACGTTACCACAATCTATATGTGTGTACGTGTGTGTTGGACTAATGCTCACAGCCAGTAGATTTCCAATGTCTAAACGCCCGCACGTGCACCGGAGCTCTGGCTCAGGTCCAACAGCCCGACAGGCGTTCATAATCAAAGTCAAAGCGCAGGCTTCGGTCGGAGAAGTCTCAATATGTTCACACGCACAGCTGGGTTGAGGCAAGAGTTGGGTTTAGGAAAAATAACCTTCACTGGGATTTATGGTTTCTCTCTCTCTTATTAGCAAAAAGACAATTATTTCAATATTATTGGATTATTTTTGCTCACTTTTGGCAACGTTTTCTCTATTAAGATTTTGTTTTCTTTTAGCCCATATTTTAGCCATGGTATTCTAGCTAACCATAGGTAGTTATTAATAACTACATGAGCTTATAACTAACTTTTAGCTGTTGTTGCCATTTTGTTGCAACTTTGTTTACCTTTAGTTTTCTTTTTGTAAATTATTTTTTCACTATATTTTAGCTACGCCACTGAGTGTCTTAGCTAATATTTATCTGGTTCTGGTTTTACCAATGTATTTATTTTGTGTCCTACTTTAATTTTACATTGTCCAGCTTTGAGCAAATATGCAAGATGGCAGTTAGTAATAGCTTTAGGAAAAAAAGCCAGATGCTAAAATTTAGAAAAAATTAAAAATTAAAAACACGACAAATGCAGTGTATACATGTACAGCCAAATTCTATTCATAAGGATATAAGAACAGGAGCAGCAGGTGTTTTTAATGGAATGTTTTCGCAAAGCAGAAATGAAGGTCACTTTCAAAAAGTTAATATTAGCTACCCCTTCGACCGTGACTTCGCCATCACTTTCATATGCTAATACCTGAACTGAGGTCATCTACCAAATCACCTGCACATATAAACCCACACAGCTTCAAGGGTGAGTCTCTTTGTAGGCGAGCTGTTGTTAGAAAGACTTTTGTTTGGTAATAAATTATTTTCTAACCTTTTGTTTTCGCAGTAATTGTTTGGAGTCTACTTCGAAAGTAACTGCACGCTTACAGAAGCAGCAGGAGATCGTGGACGAGACTCCTGGGATGGAAATGGTCGGAGAAGAGCGAGAAAATCAATATGAGACCTCCCATTATAAGAGTTCTCTGATTTCTGATCCATGGAAACCATGCAGACGGACAAGAGCTGTTGTCAAAGGTCAGGCTGACAATCAACTGAGTCAATATCTCATACACAGAGAGTTCATCTGCTGCAGGTTACCATAGCTTTAGACCTCACTTCTACTTATACCTGCAACTTCGTACTCTTTGTACGGTAGAATACAGACGACGTCACACATCCTTAGACTATATAACAGCCATATTTACATTACTACAGTGTTTACCACCAAAGAAAAGGCTGTCATTGACAATCCTGTTTTGTTTTTTTTGCAGTGCTTTCAAACTCTGATTGACTAAATGTTCTCCTCAAAGCCAATGCTCCCGTCAGACTGACAAGTGTTTTTCATTATGTTTGTAACCATTGAGGGTCACATGGCTGTAGAAAGTCAATGTGGTTCAGAAAATTAGTCTGATTTTTGGTCCAGACTGATTTATTTGATGCGCAGGAGGAAAGGCAGGGGAAGGTAAAAGGAACACAATAACAATGGCCGGAACATTAACGACTAAAAGTTCAATGTTTTCTCCTAAATTTCACAGAATCAATTAAACTAATCCAGATAGTGTATTCTGCTGAGATCTGTTGTTCTGGGAACAATAATTACTTCTCAAAATCAATTTTCTATAGAAGCCATTGTGTTCTATAACCTGCAGTGATGAAACATTATAATTAAGCCTGTGATGAGTCAGTGACCACCGCTGCTGGAGAGTCTTATCTAGTCATAATGGCCGGTCATTATCAAATTAAGATAATGGACAGTAATAAAACCTGCAGTATTTGCTATTTTTTCTCGTTCTTATCGTTTTTATGTTTAAGCATTTATTTAAATCTGCCTGAGGTTGAACAAATGGCAAATGTAATTAGAATAGATAAAGAATAATGAACTCATGTTGTGTCCACAGAGTGTCTGCTGAAACTGAGCTGCTGTCTGGGAGCAGTGTGTGGGATGCACTGGTACGGCTACGCTGCTCTGGGCATTGTTATGGCCTTCATCAGCTTCTTCATGGACCTGAGTGTAACAAAGCTGCTTAGAGGTAACTAACACACACACACACACACACACACACACACACACACACACACAGGGCAGAGATAATTACCTTACTGTCTCTTACATCTCATATTAAAGCGCACCAGTGGCTTTATGTGAATCTGGAGGGCAACAACGTGCTGCAGTTTTTCTGTTGGACTCTTTACCCAGCATGCCTCTGTGCTGTTGGATCATTGTTCTCACAAAACATCTCTCCCTTCTCCACAGGTCAGTCACACACTAAACTTAGTTTCACCACACCAATGCTGTGTGATTTTGAAAATTTCTGATATCAAATGTGTCTACCCAACAGCCTTTGCTAGCATTGTTAAATTTTCTCTATGCTTGGCTAACTCTTGGCTAGAGTTACTTTAGAGTTACTACAACATTTTTGGTTTTATTTTAGCTTAAAATCAGTTTTTCAGAATGAATGATTTCTAAGCTCATTTTTGGATAATAATCTTTAAAGTTAAAAGATATAACATATGGGTATAGCTCAAGATTAAAGTTTACCTTAGTCAATTAGCTAAATCTAAGCAATACTTGCCAAGTTTTTTTTTTCAATTTTTGCTATTTTGACCTAAATTCTCTGGTCTTATTTTTAGCTTTAATTTCTAATATAAATTATGGAAAGCTATATTTGATGTTAGGGACAGAACATTGGGATGTCAGTAAAATATCCTGGTTTAAGATAGATAGATTGATGGATGGATGGATGGATGGATAGATAGTAGAATTATTTACATAATGCTACATTTCTATCTATATATTTTAAATACATGACATTTATACCCAAGAATACATTTCTTGTGTAAAACGTGAATAAACAGACTTTTTTCTTCCTGTTTAATCTCAGTTTTCTTACGTGTATATTCCTTTATTTTTTTATCAAACATAAAGGGCATGAAGAAGAAGCCGAGTACAGCTTTACCTTTAAAATGCAATGTGTTTTGTAGGAGCTGTTGGGACACATTCAAAGTTATCGGGGATTATATCTGTCTGGAGGAGACCTTATGAAATAAGATGTGGCTGCAAGAGGCAGGGATGTCTATACTGCTTATTTTTATGCTGGTGTGGAGGAAAACATATTGGATATACATGGAAGACAGCTCTAAAAAAGCTTATAAACTGTATTTATATATTTCTAATTAAAACATAATTTACTGTGAATTTGTCCACACAACAACAATAGTCTCAATCCAACCTAAACTTCACATTTGGAGCTGTTCTTCACCTGCCGATTATAACTTTCTGTCCTCCAACTGACCTCCATCCAATTATGGCGAAATTATTCCTACATGTTCAACTGTGAATCATTTAAATTGCACCATTTGATTGCTGCAGCACCTCTGAGCTTTTTAAAAGTCTCGTTCTGTCCATTTCTCCTCAGGCTCGGGAATACCAGAAGTGCGAACCATGCTGGTTGGCATCCAAATGTCTCATTACTTGTCCCTCACTAATATGTTTACCAAGTTTTTGGGCCTTATCTGTACTCTGGCAGCTGGCAGCACTGTTTTTCTGGGCAAAGTGGTGAGAGATGTCTCTGATTATTAGTTTGTCTTACAGAATATCTGTGACCGTCCATTCACATTTTACCTTAAATTTTCCCTTCATTGTCCTGATTCATATGCTGACGTCAGGGTCCGTTTGTTCATCTGTCCACCATGGTGGGAGAATATCTGAGTAATCTGTGCTCCCTGGTGCAAAACACAAAGAAGGTCAAACCACAGGTGATACAAAAGGTCAGTATTGTTGTAGTTGCATAGAAAGTTTACTTCTGTCACAGATATTTTAGTTGTAACAAAAGGTATTTTGTCTTATGCCGATACCTCGAAGTCGTCACACGTCCTGTCTTTTTCGACTTGTTGTTTTAAGCAGTTAAACTAAAATAAATTTAATTAAGTTACATAATTAATCTCAGTTACTACCTATTTGTCCTAAAGTTCAAAGTGAAATAAGTAACTTGAATCTTTTTAAAAATATTGTTAATCATCTTCTTCAAGTTGTCCCTTTACAGGCTAATTGTGATAGACACTGTGTTCTGCCCTCTTGTGGCCATGGGTAGAAGAGCAAAACTATGACTAATGAGAAAACACAGTCAAGAATGTACCTAGTAGTATTTACTACTTTGTTTGACAAAAACAAAATAAACCATGACGATCCCTTGTTTTCCACCTTTTAGGACAAAGCAGCCAAAGAAATGATGGTTGTATCTGCTGCGGTCGGAGTAGCCGGATGTTTTGGAGCTCCCATCTCTGGTGACAAACTCACAGTGCACTATTCCTCCTCTTGTAGACTTTTCTTCCACACCCTCTCCTCCATTCTATTCATTTGTTCATACAGTATTTTATGCTCATCTTTCAGCTCAGTATCTTACAGAAATAAATTGTCAAAAGCCTTGGAAAAATGAAATTATCCCTGGGAATTTCTTCCTTCATATCCGGCCACTCACTCTGCAGCGACCACTCACCTTTTTTCTGTTATCTGTTTCTCTCCTTCACCTTTTCTCCTGTAGGGGTGTTGTTTAGCGTGGAGGTGATGTGCTCGCACTTTGCTGTGAAGCATTACGGTCCTTGTTTCCTCGCCGCTGCCTGTGGGGCTCTGACCTTCTGCCTCTTCACAGTGTGGAGCGGAGATGAGGGTAATGGAGGGCACGATCAGCACTTGCCACACCATTATGCCCCACGGGAGACGCACTAACAAGTTGACTGGAAAGAGAGACACAAACCACATATTGTCTAAAATCCAAGACTTAAAACAAGAAGCTGTAGAAGCGTGCACGTCATAGATGAAATAGGTCAGTTTAAATCACACCTCTGTTGTTCAAGGTCGCTGAAGGCTATAATCCATCCCACTCTCTAATCCTCTTCGGGCTAGTGATGGAGTGGGAGGCAATCCCAGCAGTCATTGTGCAGGGCAGAGTGGACTTCAGTTCATCACACACATTTAGACACAAACAACTTTTTATCTCCACATTCAAAACAGCAGTCAATTTAAAGAGCCCTATTGACCAATGTCCAATCTGCATATAAAACTGTTTGCAAAGGAATCTCCATCTGCTCCCAGAGAGAAATCTAGAGGGAAGATCAGGCAAACTTATACTTACTTACTTCGTGGATACAGAAATCCTGATTGAAGGCTGTTTTCTCCTATGTCTTGGTCTGAACAGGCAACAGGACCTCACAAAAAGTGACTAAAGCAAAAAAGGTGTCTGATTAGATGCCTGACTAGATGTTCCTCAAAACAATTAAGTAAAGATTAACAATGACGTCTCATAAAAAACAGTTAATGTTGCATAGCAACAAGTGTTTTTTATTGGACAATATTAATAATGTCTTCTATAGCTTCTCAGTACATTCTACACTGAAATAAATCCCATGATAACAACTTGGACTGGATCAAAGCGTTTGAAATCTCAATATAATGAATTGATGGATGATTGGATTTAAAACAGCTCTGGGATGTAGTGGAAGATAACTTCATTTTCTTCTGTTCCCTCAGAGACTCTTCAGCCATTGTTCAAAACTAATTTCCCTGCTGCTTTACCTTTTTACCCACTGGAGATTCTTCTGTTTGCTTCTCTCGGGTGAGTTCAGTTTTTGACTGCATTTGCATGACCTTCTTTCTGTCTGTCCTGCAGATGAGAAGTGAGATTTAGTATTTATTGCCCTGGACAGACCTACTGTGTGTTGATATGTTGGCTTTTGTATTTTATTAATCCAATTATTTTCCTCCTCATGATTTCCAACAATCTAATGACTTCCAGCAGCCCGTTGCTCCCTGGGTTAAACTAAGCCTCTCATCTCTCATTGTGGATTCTGTTGGCTCTCTGTTTGAAAATAGGCTGCTGTGCGGAGCCGTGAGCTGCTGCTACCTCTTCTGCCATCGCTGGATGCTGCAATTTACCAAAACAAAAGAAGTCTTCATTAAGATGCTGACGACAGAGTGAGAGCTCAATAGTACCACACTGAAAGTCGGATTGTGATGAGTCACTGGCTGTGTGTGTCGGAGGAGAGCTTTTCATCATTTATGGGCCAGTGCTGCAAAATGTCCATCTGCTTGACAAGGAGGAACATACTGTATGACGATTAGATAAAAGCAAATTAATCTAATGTTTATTTAACTGCTGCACAGTATATAAATGGTTTTAGGAGGAGGTTGTGATTAAAGGTATTTAACAAGTATTCAGTGTAGGGTGGTCAGTATATTTAATCCTGTTTTAAACGAGGTTAAGGTTGGGATTCACTAAATATGCAGAAGGAAAATGTACATTTGAAAAAAAAATGGAAGAATGATTGAAAGTTGTGTCTGCAGGAAGTGTCTTTACTCTGGCTTGGTGGTCTTCCTCCTGGCGTCGGTGACATTCCCTCACTCTGCTGGTCAATACATGGCTTC